ACTAAGAATATTATTTTTATTTTTTGTTTAGAATAAGATGTTTTTTATTTTTATTTTAGAATAATGATTGTTCTTTTTAAAAATGAATTTTTATATGAAAATGCTTTGATTAATAATATTTTGTATGTTTTGAATATTGAAACTCCCATAAATAATATAAATGCCAAAAGACTCAAATCAAATAATTTAAATAAAAATATTTATAGCATTGTCGACTTGATCATATAAACGAGAATCGTATATCTAAACTACCTATAAATTGATAGCTAGAATTACTTTATGATGTCTATGAATCTTGTTTACTTGACAAAATGACAAAAATCTCTTTTTAGTGGAAAAGAAGAAAGAGTGATTGATTTGATTAAGCCTTACACATAGAGATGTATCTAGGCCCTATCCACTTATGAAAAAGGAGAACATGATTATTTCATAGCATTCATTGATGATGGATCATATTTTGGTTATGTATTAAGACATAAATCTGAAGTATTTGAAAAATTAAAAGAATTTAGATTTAAAGTTGAGAAGCTAATCGGCCGAAGTATTAATAAACTTTGATTTGATCGAGGTGAACAGTTAAATTTTTTAGATCACTTAAAAGAAATGAGATTCTCTCTCAATGAACTCTATCTAGAATATCATAATTGAAGGGTGTGTTCGAAAAGTGAAATATGATGTCGCTAGACATAGTTCGGTTCATGATGAGTTGAACCGATATCCTTTTTTTCATTTTCGGATATGCACTCCTTATTGTAATCTTTATTTTTGAACAAGATTCTAACAAAATCTTTTGATCGGATCCCATGTGAGATACAAAAAGGAAAAATAACTAAATTTATCTTTTCTTAAGATTTGAGATTGTGAAACATATGTCAAACATTTGGATAAAGACAAGCTAGGGTCTAATCAACAAAGTGCAAAATTATGGGTTATCCAATATAAACAAATGGGTATTACTTTTTTTTATCACTAGAACAAAATATTATTCGTGACTAGATATGTTATGTTTCATAGGAAGGAATTTATAGATGCTAAAAACAATGAAAAAAAGTTAAACTCAATGAGATTTAAGTAGACTCACAAATTAATACTCCACTAGTAGAACTCTAAGTAGAAAGATTATAAAGTATTATAATTATCTCACAAATAGATATACAAAAATTTTATAAGTCTAAACAAGTTCATCAAGAGTTAAAAAGATATGACTTTCTTGTCTTTACACATGGTGATATGTGTCCTATAGAGGACAATGAAGCTAATACCTATGTTGTAACTCATTATCCTTATAGTATAAGGATGTCGCCTCTTATAAATAAATAAAGAGAGATATATGGTATGTAGTGAAAAAATAAGGTAAATTTTGTCGTATAAAATCAGGACAAATGTTGTCATAGATACCCTCTCTCTCTCTCTCTCTCTCTCTCTCTCTCTCTCTCTCTCTCTCTCTCTCTCTCTCTCTCTCGTGGTTACAACCAAAAAAAAAAACCTTGACTGATTTCTTTAGAGAAAATTAACACATAAAAAAAAGGTAGAGCTAACACTTGCTAATTTCTAATTGTTTCTTGTATAATTATTTGAGTTGCATGGATAATCAATAGAAGTTGGACACTTGGATGGTTCTTTTTCCATTTAGATTATTTTTGCACTATAAGAGGTAATCACTTACTATATTTCTATTCATATTTATGTATGATCGGTTGATTCAATGGTATGATCTTGGAAATCCTAAATTGAGGAAATTTTTTTTATTTATTCCGTACCTTCATAGGATGAATGATCCTTCAAATTGCTTAAAGGAAAAATAAACTAAATCAAACTAAAGGTTTTATGATAAAACAAATAACTATTTGGATTATAAGCTAAATAAATTTATATATAGGCTAAAGCAAACCTTCTTAAGTTTTACAATATTATTATCTCTTATGATTTTATTAAGAATGTTATTGATCCTAAATACTTAATTTAAATTTATTTGTAGCAAAAATATTTTTTTCTTCATCATATATATAAATGACATTTTGCTTATAAGCAATAACTTGAATTTGTTACATGAAACAAAATAATTTTTTTCCTCAAGATTTTGATGTGAAGAATTTGGGTAAAGCCTCTTATACCATTGGTATAGAGATTCACGTAGGCAAATCTCAAAAAATATTTGAACTATCTCAAAAGACTTAAATTGACAAGGTATTAAAAAAATTCGGGATGGCAAATTATGCATCTTTAGTAGTCGGCACTTATTATCAAAATGAGACAAATTCAATCAAAATCAATATCCATAAAATATACTCAAAAAATAGCAAACTAGTAACATTCTCTATGCATATGCTATAAGTAGTTTAATGTATGCATAGATTTGTATAAGACTCGACTTGCCATATGTAATAGAGATGTTGGAAAGGTTCCAAAACAATCCTAGAATGGAACATTAGAAACCATTAAAAAGTTATAAGATACATATAAAGAACCAAGAATTATAAACTCGACTCCCAAACATCCTAATCATCTTCGGGTAGTTGATTATTCTTATTCGATTTTACTTGGTTGTGTAAATATAAGAAAGTGTACTTTGAGATACTTTTTCTTCTTACTAGAAGAGTTGTATATTAGAAAAGCACTAAGCAAACTATTGTTGTTTTTTTTCCTACTATAGAAGCTTAATTTTTTTCATGGTATGAAAGAACAATATAGGCTATCCGGTTAAAAATTTTATTTATGGTCTAAAAGTATTGATTCTATATCAAGTTAGTAAAGATTTATTATGATGATTCGACTATAGTTCTCTAATTTAAAAATAATAAAAGAAAATTTGAAATAAACATATCTACATAAAATATCTTACTATGAGAGAGAGAATAAAGAGGCATGAAGTGCTCATTGAGCTAATGGTTATGGATTTCATGAATAAAGCATTGTTGGCAAATCAAGCATAAAGATCATATGGATCATATAAGTTTAGTTAACCTATTTGATGTTCGACTCATTTTCTTTTCATTAACTATCTAGATATTTTTAGAGATTAACATGATTTTTGTACATATAAAATATTATTTTCTTATATACTGTTGGGATATATAAAGTTAGAGTCGAATGACTTATTGAAAGTTCATTTATAAAATTTATTTATTCATTAAATGCTTATTTTAAGAATGAAATATATTGTAATGCATGAAAGAAAATACTTGGTTGTAAAACATAACCTCTACGATTCATATATTGTATTCTTATTCTAAAAGTGAGTAGTTTTACTTATTAGCTATTTTGGACTCTATAGATAAAAAATTATTATTATTTAAGTCGTGTCATACGGATCAAGTGGGACAATACAAGAAATATTTCTTAGTGTAACTCATATCCCATGCATTGTTTTAAATTAATTAATACTCTTATAGATTAATATAATCTATAAGTGACTATTAAAAGTTTAAAGCCCATTGAAATATAGTGGTGGATTAGACATATCTATGATGGATGAAAATGCAAAATTTAGGTTAAAAAAAGAAAAAGAAAAAAGACCTTTAGTTTAGCCATATAAACACTACTTAAAAGTCTTCTATGATCCTTCCACACATATAAAATCTAAAAGTATTGGTGTAGACTAGGAGACATTTTTTACCAAGTAAGTTTTTCTTGGATAATTACTTGAGCACTTACTTAATTATACAAGAAGGTATGTATCATATTAATTTTTATTATATATTTGGATATATTTAATTTATTTATATTGTGGTCTTATAATACCTTTTATTATACTTTAATTTTGATGGAACCAATCTTTAGATTTAATCATTTAGTGTGTGTTTGCTATTGCCGTGCTTATATATATAAGTGTGTTTGAATTGAAGAAAAAAACATTAAATTGATATTTTTTTCAACTATTTTTTATGTTTTCGACATAGGCATATTAAAATAATTTAAAAATACATAAAAAGATCTCAAATTTATGTTTTTTCAATTTAAATACATTTTAAAAAGTACTTTCAAATATGGTCAGATCACATTATCAAATACACATTAAGAAGGTATGTATCATATTAATTTTTATTATGTATTTGAACATATTTAATTTATTTATATTGTTGTCTTATAATACCTTTTATTATACTTTAATTTTGATGGAACCAATCGTTAGATTTAATCATTTAGTGTGTGTTTGCTATATATATATATATATATAAAAGTGTGTTTGAATTGAAAAAAAAACATTAAATTGATGTTTTTTCAACTATTTTTTATGTTTTCGACATAGGCATATTAAAAAAATTTAAAAATATATAAAAAGATCTCAAATTGATTTTTTTCAATTTAAATATATTTTAAAAAATACTTTCAAATATGGTGGGAACACATTACCAAATATACATTTACTCTCATAGATTATGCGGTATGCTAACTTTTTATTATTACATTATCAATCACGAGTCTTCCTCAAAATTTGATCGGACAACATCATCCATATATATATATATATATATATATATATCGATGGAGAAAAAATAATTGATTTTTATTTCTTGTTGTAGTTACTATTTATCTGGTCAATTTTTTGCTTAATTAATATAGTTTTGTTCGAGTTATTGTAATGCACGTCTTAACTATTTCCACCGGTTGTGTGCTGTTGTCGAACGAGGTACTATAAGCATCACCTCAAGGTTCTCAGTGAAATAAGGTTATCCTTGAATTCATAAATAAAATTATATATAGCATGTTCAATTATTTTAATTTTTGAAGGAAAATAAATCTTGGTTGTTCAATCTTGTTTGGTATTAATTAATTAACTTGAATAAATCAAACTTATATACGTATATACCAACTAAAGTTCAAAAATCAAACAGAACTACAATTGAATCAAACCAAATCGATTTTACTTTCACATAATTTGGTCAGCTTGATTTCAAAATTCTGAAAATTGAGAATTTTTGTAACCGAACTGATGAATTGGATAATTTTTTGAACTGAAACAATCGAATGCTCATCCAGGAAAGTTGTCGCTCCCAATCATGCACGGATCGTGCCTTTCGGGTCCAAAATTAGTTAATGGGATTTGTGGAATAGAAGTATTGCATGTCCTTGTAAGTATATATAATGTAGTGTTCATTTTCTCAACCTCACATGCACAAACTTAATTTATAGTGATTAATTAGCCTTCAGCACTAAATAGAAAATGGCTAAAATAATTTTCAGCATTTGAAGGACACAACTTATCAAAAACTAATCATTACGTCCCAGGTTGAAAATTAAATCTTTTTTTTAAAAAAAAGAAGCAAAAAAGCTCCAACAACTTATATATCAATAGCTACTAATCAATCAAATTATTTACCGACCAACAACTTAAGATTGGATCGTTTCCATCTAAGTTAAAATCATATTAAATCTGCATGAAAAAAATAATAAATGCTGATGGAACGCTTCAATCCATGTACCAACTATGTAAACTAGACTCACTCTAGTCTTATCAATCGCCCAAACAGCCATTCATTCGCATACAAAAACGGGTCCACGTCCATGACCCCGACCCTATTAAAAAGAAAATCTATACTGCAAGGACCAACCTGGCTTTTGATATAATAATCCATCACCACGTCTTGGAGTCCAAGACTTCAACTTATATTGATTGTGTCTACAGGCCGAATGTATAATTAAAAGAATGGGCCCAAAATGCTGGACTCGGGCCTACATGTATGTGGACCTAAGATATTATGAAGGATGTCGCCCACCAACAGGATTCAGGTGCTCAGTGAAAAGAGTACCCAATATTTTCCTTCATAATTATTATCCACCTTTCATAAATCAATCATTAGTCACTATACAAGCGTTTTGTTGGTAGACAATGTGACTTCTTCTTTTTTTTCCATTTAATTTTTTTATTATTATTTATTGAGTTTTTTTAAAAAAAATCAATTTTTTTTTTGGTGTTTTATTTATGTTAAATGGCCACGTGTCGTATGACTAGCATGACAACAAACCCTGTTAATTCTGTCATGGATTGAGGATTTTGATTATAAGATGAATTCACTATAAAGGGACTTCATTATTCTAATTAATAGTGAAAAGACCTAATTAATTAAACTGCCATAGCAAAAAGACTTTGGATGAAATTAACATTTTTATTATTCACTAATGACACCCAAGTTGATGGAAATTTTACTCCAGTACATTTTTATATTTTGTTAAAAAAAAAAAAAAAGGAAAGTAGATTTATGATATACAACTTTTTCTAAAAGCTCTAAATTATATTTTCGGAGGTTGCCATTTAACTATTTGGGCCGGATACGGGCCTGGGCGGATCAGGTTAAAGTTGGGTTCTTATCGGGTGGGTATTCCCCGGCTTAGGCCGAATTGCCCTCTCTTTTGCTAACCCACAAACTCCTCATTCCAACGACGAGCTTTAATATCATACCTGCAAAAATATCAAAAATCCCCAAGTCCAAATCAAACAAAACGGTTAGCCCGAGACTCTTTATCATCATGTCTTCCTTGTTGATCACTCTAACAAAAAGGCCACTCCTTTACTTTTTTTTTTTTTTGGTTTTTCTGTTCTTTTAGATTTGGGAGAATTTTTTTTAGTTATACTTATAAATTGGAGCTTGGCACACCGTTGCATTTAGGAGATGGGATATTTAATTTTGCTGTGGAGATACCAAAGCGTACAAGTGCAAAAATGAAGGTTACTAGTGATGAACCATTCACTCCAATTAAGCAGGATCCCTACAAGGGAAAACTTCTTTATTACTCGAAAGTTCTAGTTTTTTTTTTCCCTTTTTTCTGTTGCTGTTTTTTCCAAGTTTTTTAATAATGTCTGTTTTTTGTTTAATGCAGTTAGGCTTTAGCTCTTGCTGCTGCTGCTATGTTTTTATTGTTTTTGGTCTTTATTCAGCTGCATTGGAATTTGGAACTACGGATTTAAATATACATTGAAAACTAGGGTGACTATGTTTGATCAACCTTTTGGATTTTGATTGATGTTTTTGAGATTGGTCAGATTCTGAAGGTTAAACCATTAGCTGCTTTAGGCTTCATCTATGATTGATGAAGTGGAGCTCGATTGGAAAATAGTTGCAATTTATTTGGATGATCCAGAAGCTTCTTCCCTTGTCAACGATGTTGGTGGTGTTGAGAAACATCCTCCTCGATTATGTATCTATTTATTACTTTAGATAACACCTACACATTGTTGTTAACTTTTGATGTCAGAGTTTGAAAATAAGACAATTTGAAACTTTACTTCTATACTAAACGCTAGAAGTTAATGCTGCAGTTGTAGTAGTATGAACATTTCCATTGTGTTAGTATTGAATATTGTCTGGAATAGAAGAGTGCCTTATTTGTCCACATTAGTCATATATGACTCTGAACTGAACTCTGAACAACTCATTAACTTAGACAGTTCACTCCTCTTATGAAGTGCATTCATGAGAAGAAGTACAGTTTAGTCATGGAGAAAACAGGTCTGTGTCTCTATCTTTATGCGACTTGAAATCGTTGGCTCATTTGTTTTATAGACATTTGATGCTCTTTTGGGATGATAAAAACCAGGGCATATTGTACTGATTTTTCTTTTTTGGTGTTTTGTGTTTCATCAATTAATGACCTATGAAAACTGATATTGCTTACCTAAACACAGTTCAGCAAAAATTCACAGAACATGGTTGCTTTTCATGGCATCACTTTCAATGACACAAGAACAATTCCGAACATTAAAGAGTCTCTAATATTGCGCTCTGCTTGTTTTGTTGACTCCTAATAGCTAGAAAAAACATACGAACTCTTAAACTACTTATTGATTGGACATTTTATGCGCCCCAATCGCATCGTCTTCTTCTGTGTTTAGGCGCCAATAATCAAGCCATTCTTTTTTCGAATATTTGAAATCTGGAGCTGGTATTTCACGCAACTCACAATTTTTTACAGGGTACTCTGACTGTGATTAGGGATTGGTTTAGAGGTTATAATATTCCAAACGGAAAACCTGCAAACAAGTCTGGACTTGGCAAAGGCAGCAAATAAGGTAGACTTCAATATTACAGCTGTGATTTTAACCATGTAAGCTTGCCTGCTAAATGAATGCATGCCTTCTAAACTATGATTTGCTCGCTGTTTTAATTTCAAAGTAAAAATTTATGTTTACTTTGCTTCAAGATTCTTGAATAAGCGTGCTTTACTAGAGCTAAATGATGTTAGGCTAAGCTTTCTATAGCAGGGGACTGCATGATGACAGAATTGATCACCAAAATGATTGTATTTGTTTGGTTGCACTCTTAGCAATTGTTTCTGTGTCTAAGATTGTGCTACCTTTATTAAAAAAAAAAAACACTTATCTAATGGTAACATAAATAATTCTATAGTTTATTAAATGGTTCATTAAATGTAATCCAAAACCAAATAATTGCATTTCTTTTGATGTTTACTCATAATCCTTTCTACATTTTATATTTAGGCTGTGTTTGTTTGGAGGAAAACAAGTTTTAGAAATTTTTTTTTTTTTCAGTGTTTTTTTCGCATTTAAGAAAAAAGTCAACAAAAAATGATATAGTATTTTTAGAAAAATATTTTAAAAGAGGAAAACATTTTTCTTCTCACGAGCTATCTCGCTCTCGCGTTGCTTACTCCTCTCTCGATATATTTTAACAAATTTTTTCTATATCTTCTTTTTATTTAAAATATATCAAATTAATTTTTAATTATTCCTTATCGGTTATTATTTATTATTTAATTATCTTTTCTCTATTTTCACTAATATTTGATTTTTTTATTTATAGATACATTAAATATTCTTAAAAATCATTTTTACACCTTAAAATTATTTTTATAATAAATATTTCAATAATTTATCTTTATTTTTTTTATTACTATCTCACTTACGCTATACTTAAATGATTGAAAATGATTATTACAAGATTATAATTTTTTTATAAAAAAATTGAAATTAATTAATTCATTAATAAATATATTATTTTTTCAACACTATTCATTTGCAACTAAATCAATAATTTGTAATTTTAATTAGATGTAAAATTTTGTTCGTAATTGTAGTGAATAATTAGTTACAAATTATTCCAACATTAATCTTTTGAAACCATATGAATAACTATCTACAAATGATAACTAATAATTTATAAAATTATTTTTTAAACTAAATTATCGGTTCGATTTCTAAAAAAAAAAAATTGTTAATTGAGTTACCAAAATAACAATATTAGGATACTTAGATTATTATTTTTTAAATGTGAATATTGACTTGATTTTGTCCCAATTAATTTTGATGAATTGGTTTGATGGTTAAAAAGTATATTTTATTTTTTTGAATTAAAATTTTAGAGTCGGTATTTATGAAAATTTATTAAATTTTTCTAAATTTATCTTATATTGTGAAATTATGAATATGACTTTTTGAAGTTTTCTCAAAACTTGTTGATATAGCAACCACATACTATTTTTGTATTTTAATTTTTTGTATCAAACAAATACTGAAATATACTTTTCATCAGCTTTTTCATGTAATTACCAAACGATAAAAAATATTTTTTAAAAAAATAACTTCTTCAGAAATTGATTTTTCTATAGAAGTTATTTTCCGTCAAACAAACGAAGCCTTAGACATGGCCAATCGCTGGTCTCCAACTATTATTTTGAATGAACACATGCTTGTCGATGATTTTCTTGCAGTGGTATTACTTAACTTTTCCATGATTTTGGATTTTAAATCTTTCACTATAATAAACAGGACTATGCTTTAAAAGTCATCAATGAGACTAATAAATCACGTCCAACACTGATAAAGAGATATATATCCCTTTCACTGGTGTAAACTCACTTATAACTGCTTATCTAAACCTGCTGCTGTTTGCAGTTGATAAAGCACCATCAATGTCTTTTTGTTTCCAACTAGGATTACAATAGGTTGAATATAAAATAGAAATCTGCTTTACGTAACTCTATAAATATCTATTAAAAATATTTAATATTTGTTAAAATGGATAATGATAAAAAAAGAATGAATACTCATTAATATAGTTTCAAGGTATGGATACTCATTCTTTGCTCTATTAATACTCACTAATTTATTTAAATTTTTTATTAAACATGCGAGAGATCTAATTGCATAAAATTTAAAAATTAAGATTAAAATATTTTTTAAAAAAAATTTGAGGGTCAAAAAAACTTATAAATAAATTATCAAAATACCAAAAGAAAAATTAAGGATAAAAAATTCTTAAAAATTATAAGGACTAAAATAAATATTTTTTATAAATTAAATTTAGCGTGAGTTGGTAAATTAGTATAAACCGAGTATTGACCAGATAAAAATTTATATGATAATTTTTTAATAAATAACGAATAAAATATTTTTTTATTATATAAAATAAAAAATTAAATTAATAAATAGAGTATTCATCCATTGTATCTATTTCTATGTAGATGAGGGTTCAGGAATCAAATGATGGTTTCAACAGAAACACAGCTATTTCCTTATAATGTACTCTCTTATCACTTTTTTTTTTTTTTATGCCCCCTCTTTTTCACACAAATCCAAGAAAGCGTTTTATCATTACAAACTTTGTTTTACTAGCTGTGCTTTTATTAAATTTTTTGAGTGATGCCTCTTACTTTACGTTTTTCAAACAGAAGCAAATCCTTTTATATGGCTGCCCATGGTAACTGTTATGCTGATTTAGTTTACGTAAATTAAAGCAGTCAAATTATCTTGGCTTATTGCGTTAATCAACTGCAATAATGGAGTCTCTTGCATTGACCAATTGATTGATACAGTATGCTACAGCGTACGGGGATCGAGTCTCCTATGGGAGGCTGAGGCGGCTTTGAAGAGATTGGGCCTCTTAAAGTCATCTTTAGACGGTCGCGGAGGGTAAATGGTCATCTCTTAAAGAATAGGTGGAGTGAGCCTCCATTGTTGACCCATGTAGAATTGTTAAAGCCATAGACCAGACCCAATAAACTGGCGCACAAGTTACATTGCACGTGGTTTAGCCCACTGGACTTTGTATTATCTTCCTTAATCATAATTATGAAACGGCTAATCAATGTAGTAACCCGATCCTACATTGCTAATGGAATCCATACTATCGACCATCGAATTGTATTGCATCCATGTTAATTGTTATGGCAAAGAAATTAAATAAATTTCCAAAAAGTTTCTGCTGTTGCTATCTCATTACATCTTATACCATGCCAACAATTCAAATACTTTCCCAAAGAAATCAACACCAGAGATTGTAGCTGTAGATTCTAATGAATGAGCATATAAACACAAATAGCAAACAGTTTAACCTTTCAGTTATATTTCCCAGCTCAGTTTGCCAAAATTTTTGTGTTGGCTTTAAATGATAATTGAGTTTACTTTTCATATCATCATTTTATAATTATATTTTTTTAAAAAGGGTTTTTGTATAAATACATCAGTTTCTATATTAATTATCTACCCTAACTAACATGGAAGGGATCTAGTCTCTATAACTGAAATCGACTTAAAACAACCTCAATATTATAATTACAAAATAATTATTAAATGATTAGTTCATCTTTCCTGATGCCCGAGACTCCTACCAGCAGGTGATTAAAAAATTAAAAGAAGAAGAAGAAGAAGAAATAAAATTAACACCATGAGAGACGCGTAGACTTTCCGAGGACAAGTAACTACGTGTAATTAGTTAAATGGCACACCAACGCATAATTTAGTCCCAATCAATCCCTCTCTCCAGCTGGAGCAGACTAGGCGCCCCACCACCGTCTCTCCTCTTCCCTTCTCCGCGCTAAAAATCACCCAAAAAAACTGAAACACCACCACCGCACCAGATCTTAGCCCTCTCTCTCCATTTCCGAAAACGACTTTCATAGCCTCTAAAAGCATCGGAACAAAATTCAGAGTTCTGAATCCATTTTCACTCTGTAGAAACGAAAAATCGGAAATCCATTTCACTTCATTTAGGGTTTTTTCAAGTGAATTAATCTCCTTCGTCCATCAAATCTTGATTTGATAATGTAAGTTGCTCAAAATCAATCAAATGGCATCAATCCGTCGAACACTGTCACCAGCTTATCACGACCGTAGCTACCAAAACGGCGTCGCTTCAGCACAGTCTCACAAGCTTTTTAGCACTAACAACAACAGTGGAAAATACTCTTCCTCCACTGCCACCGTCGCCGCAGCCTCCGTCTACCTCCGCCGGAAAGGATTTCGCAGATCCTTGTACAGATGCATGTTATTTTTCATCTTAGGGCTTTTACTAGGTATCTTCCCGTTTGGTCACGTGGATAACGATATCAATAAGCATGATTTCTCCTTCGAAATGAAACCGCCACATGTCAACGTCCAATTGGACACCAACGATAATTTTGCTATCCCTGCTGTATCCCTCGGCGTCGACCAAACGATACCGCAATTGGATCGATTTTCAAGGTTTGATTATGTAGAGAGAAGGCAAGTGATAGTGATAACACCGACATATAATCGAGCATTACAAGCTTACTTTTTGAATAGATTAGGGCAGGTGTTGAGGTTAGTGCAGCCGCCGTTGTTGTGGATTGTGGTGGAGATGACGCCAGCGTCGGCGGAGACTGCGGAGATATTGAGGAAAATAGGGGTGATGTATAGGCATTTGGTGTGTGTTAATAAGAATAATACGAATGTGAAGGACAGAGGGGTGCATCAGAGGAATGTGGGGTTAGAGCATATAGAAAGGCATAGACTTGATGGGATTGTTTATTTTGCTGATGATGATAATGTGTATTCGCTTCAATTGTTTGAGAGCTTGAGAAATATCAGGTAAATTTTGGGGTTTTTTTTTTTTTTTTTTTTTTTTTGTATGTGGTAATGTGTGTGTTAGGGGATTAAGTGAGTATATGTGTCTGTGGTTTCTCTAAGAAATTAGTTGTTTAGTTCTGTTTGGTTGGTACTGGGGAAATGCTCTTTTAATAGAATGGGATGGTGTTTTATTTACATTTTGTTGTTGGTTATTTGATGGTATCTTAAAACTGACTTAAGAAGCAGGCATTTGGTTGGTTACAATTATTGGCTGTTCATATTGTCTGCTTATCAGATTAGGTCCATGTGGTTCTGTTTGATTTACGTTTTTTGTGTTTCTTTTTTGATTGAGATTGATATACTTTCTTTCTATAGCAAATCCTTTGTTGTTGTTGGGTTTTCTGTATGTAAAATTTTTACGCAGTGAAGAGGGTCTTGGTAAAATAATGCAAGACACTAGTCAGTTATTTTGCTTTTTTGGTGCTATCTTCTCTTTGTGAATAAAATTGTGTGCTTTCTCTCCACCTAATCCTGTCATTTTTCGTTTCTGATTTGTTCGTTTGCTTTAATTGTATAATGTCATCTGCTTTATCTCATTAATTTGTCATGAATTTTTCGTTATGGGAGGCTTGAAAAACTCCCTGATACCTTGTGTTATCTGTGATGCGGTGAAAGGAACAAGAAGGAATTGATGAGAACTTCTAAATCTATCCACTGTTTTTTTTTTTTTTCAAAGGAAACTGAGGATAACTGGCTTGTCTTTATTGAAGATGTTGGTTTTGTTAGGCTGATATAGCTAGATATTCTTGTCGTCGCAATGGTGCAGATTCTGCATCTTCAGTCACATTGATTCCAAAGTTTGTAACAGTTGAAGCTCAATTGTATGGAGTTTGGTGTTCTCTGCTTATGCTTTCACTCACAAATTTCTCATATTGCATAATTTTTTTGTAGTCGTTTTGGCACCTGGCCGGTTGCAATGCTTGCACAAAGCAAAAACAAAGCAATTTTGGAAGGTCCGGTATGCAATGCCAGTCGAGTAATTGGATGGCATACGAACGAGAAAAGTAAAAAACTTCGCAGGTTTCATGTTGATATGTCTGGATTTGCTTTCAACAGCACAATCTTGTGGGACCCAAAGAGATGGAATAGCCCCTTTTCAAATCCAATTCGACAGTTAGATACTGTGAAGGAGGGTTTCCAAGTATGCTCATAAATAGCATTTTGTGGATGTTCTCCTGATACTGCTTTGAAGATGTCATATACTGTATTTGATATTCAATGCCCAACCTATTCACTGATCTTTGAGCTCTTTCACAGGAGACCACATTCATTGAGCAAGTGGTGCAAGATGAAAGTCAAATGGAGGGTGTACCACCTGGTTGTTCAAGGATACTGAACTGGCATCTTCATATGGATGCTCATGGTCTTGTCTATCCCAGAGGCTGGCTGCTTCAGAAGAACCTGGATGTTGTTCTGCCCATCAAATGATTTGAGCTTTGGAGTGCAATTTTGATGCTAAAAGATTAAGAAAGGTAGTGCTATTTTGCCTTTTGAATTATAGACATTGATTCCAACCTTTGTTGCTGAGATCCAATCGACTAGATCAAAAACAAAGTTCCCTCCACTCAACTTCCCCCTGGAAGGAACAAGTAGAAACAGAGATAGGAAGATTAAGTCCTGCAGATTGTGTTTCCATTTTCTTTTCCATTTATAATATTCTATGGATAATGAATTTTATGCTACAAAATGTCTTGCAATTTTATTTTTTTCCTTACATTTCTTTTCACACTTGCAGTTTGGCACTTGTTTTATGCAATGGTTTGTCATCCTCGAGCATGTTGTTGCTCCATTGGTGACATCTGCATCAAGCAGCAGCCTTTGATACTCAGCAGCCTGTGACAAAGAAACAGAAGATTTTTTTTTTTTTTTTTTTTGTAGCATAATTTTCTTAGCATGATATTCTTTGCCAGAAAACAAAAATGTGCTTTTTGTTATAGAGTTCTGGTGATTGTTTCTTTGGGTTGGTTTTTTTTTTTTTTTTTTTGGGGGGGGGAGGGGAGAGAGGAAGGATTTTTGCTTTACTTTTAAAAATTTGCCGCCGGGCTCTAAAAAACATAAGGCGTATGTGCTGTTGGAGACGGCTATTGTGGGTCCATTCTTTGTACCTGAGTATCGGCCTTTCAAAAGAATCGAGAAAAAATGCGACTTGTAAAATTTAGTCGTTAAAAAAAAAAAAAAAAAAGAGGTTATGTTTTTCTGTTTCTGGCGTTGCCCCTGCCTTCTATTCTTTGTTCACATCCAAGTTTGGTCACCTCAATGCCACATTGGGAATCTGTAATTGTACAGGAACAGTTTTCAACCAGTGCTATTTTTTATTTTTCCGGTTTAAATTTCTTTGCAACTTGGGCAACCCTGTGTATTGTAAATTTGTAATATAATTTTCATAATTGAGAAGTACAAGCTCTTTCGGTTTCTTGGTATGAATGTTTATTAAAGAATTAGTTTTTTATAACATGTAATGGCTTGAGATCGACATGTATAAGACAGGAGAAAACCTCTTGTCGTGGATAACCGAAAACATGACAAATAGACAGTACATGAAAATCATGAAAATACGTGAGGAATACAAGATTTTGTATATTAACAATAGATATCTTTAGATGAAAAGATGCTCGAAAAGCAGTATTTTACGTGCTAAACGCAGATCACCTCCAGAACTAAAAAAACATCAGTGCTTTTCCTCGTAAGTTCAAATTTTTAGGGACCATTTGAAAATTATAAGTTAGATTAGAAATTGCTTATATTGATAAAGATCTGGACTCATTGAATTGGTACCTAATTGGGTGTATCATCCTCCCATTTCAAACAAGAGATTCAATTTTAGCCATTAGGATCCTAAATCCTAATCGAAGGTGTTGTCATGCTGTGCCATCCTCCAATAGATTCTACTTGGGCCATGACCAATTTCAAGCGCAGTAGCCTCATGCATCAGGGTCAATAATCGAAATCTTAGGAAATAGTTTAGCGTCCATCATTTAAAAAGGAAGCAAAATACGCTACACGTTAGTTATTAGAAAATCCAAAAAGGTTAGACTCTAACCTCTTAAGATTAAACACCCAAAAAGTCCCCATAACTGGGTATGAACGCAAGGGCTCCGTGTTTAAACGCATGTTCAAACCTATAAACGTTAAACACAAGATAACCGTACAACTGGGTATGGACGCACGGGCTATTTATTATTATTACTATTATTATTTTACTATTTTCCATTTATTTGGGCACGAAATGACCAGCAGGAATAAACCAAAAGGCATATTCATCTTGTCATGTATACAAGTCGCTAAATTATGGTTTTGCCACTGCAGCTCAACGCACTATGCTAAAAATACTAAGATGCACGCCTCCAAATCTATTCTTCCTTCAAAAGTACGGGGTCCTCTTGACCGAAGCAGAGGCACCCTCTAAAATTGTGGGGTCTCGTCATCCAATCGGAGGAGCCCAGCCGACTCGAACTTTTTTAGCATGGCTACCAACTCACATTAAACATGTTCACTAAACATGTTTAGATCGCAGGAATTGAAGGGGAAAAAAATTCAAACAATAAATTACAAAGTTTTTTTCCCTAGAAAAAGGGATTACAATTATGGTACAGGGGGGTAAGGGAGCTGCAGGAAAAGGAGGGGAGAGGTGTTCTTTAAAGGCAATTCCTTGCAAAAACACCATTCCACATCACCAGGCTGACTTCTCTTAAATCTTCGTTTCAAGTTGCCATATGAATCTGAACTTAGCAGTCACTATATTAGCCAGCTAATTTGTGTCTCCCTTCCTGGCAAGTGGACCTAATGGATGGGACACCAACATCCAGATGGGTCCCATGATGCTCTGCCATGCACCTGGGCAACCTCGACTCCTACAGAGCATTATCATGCAGGATTTGCTCCGTGAGCTGAAGAATCCATGCCTGACGAGTGCAAAGATGAAATACAGGGCTGCTGCATGTGTGGTTCATTTACAAGACCAAGAACTGCTAGTGTTGATCTGCAAAATGCAGCGCAATGAAATAAATTAAACCCTTGATCTGCAACATATAGTGCGATAAATTGACTCCTAAAAAAAATTATGGGGCAGTGACCAAATTATGAAAAGCAAAGCCAGTCTTTAGGTGCTTTTTCTTTGATTTACAAGCACCTCAGCATAAAGAAACTTCTGAACACCTCTTACCACTCCTTAAAATGCCAGAAAAATCCCATGCGCTCTTGATCTCATGTAGAGCTGCAGTAGAACTTCATAATGGCAATTCTAACACTATATAACAGCTTATTCAATTTAAGGTAGCAGAGAAGAGCTCCAGACAACCCAATGTAATTGAATGTTAAACGGCCACTTTCATTATCTCTTCCAACCATCAATTCAGGGGACACTGCTAGGAATCAGAAAGAATAATTTCCACAAACTGAGCATCTACAAAAGCCTTGGGCAATGCAAAAGCAGTGACTGGCATATGCCAATAAATGTTTGCAATTGTTAGGATTTATCCAAGACTTTCTGATGCTCATTTCACTTGGTAAATCATAACTTTCTTAATTCAGTAAAATTGCAGCATCCCAAAGACGACTCTGAAAAAATAACAACACTACAAAAGGAGCCAGCTAGCTTCTCTGGCTCAAACTGGGTGATAGATGGGTCCATTAGAATTTTACCTAGGTAGAGAAGTTTTTGTACTTGGTTGGCTGGCATAAGTAGCCAAGGGACCTCTGAGGTTAGCATGCTTGTTCAGAGCACTATCAAGTTGTGGAGGAGGTAACTGCAAGAAAATATAAAGCAAGCTGCAGATTGAGAATATATATATATATAATAGACAAGGAGAAATTCACCATTTTCAACAAATCTTATAATACCTGCAACAGTACACGAAAAGAATGTGGCCGTGTTTGAGAAACACATTTCAAGAACCCCACCCACAACTTCGGCATTTTCCACACCTAAACACAAAAGCATGCACAAAAAGTAAGTTATCTCATAAAAAGTAAGACAGATCAAGCATAATCATTATTCATTTTTTAAGTACACAAAACATACCTGTCTGCTAACGAGTTTGGAGAGTATTTCCATAACAAAATCAACCTGGAGACCAAGCATTATTGTTATAGATTAAGAGTATATCCCTGTTGAAATGAAATCGTAACAATATACAGATCACCAAAATGTGTTTATGAATTAAACAAAACAACAAGGTTGACCATCCCTAGGAGTTGCAAAATTAGCATTGAAGTTAGTGGCAAGGTAACTTTTAAAGTATTTCTGCATCCTGTTCTTTCCCTTGAATGTACTGTGTGATTCATTCAACTGCAATAAGAAGTCAATGACATGTTCCCTCACTCCTTGGGTTTTTTCTTTCCATGCAATAAAATTGCTTCATACTGCCATTATCTGGGATTCAACTCCAATAAAAGGTCACAGTACCCTCCCCCTTGCTCCCTACACACACACACACACACACACACAAACTGTTGGTAGTGCTGGCCCAGCAGCATTCTAGGTCTAAACTTCTGTGAACATAAAGCATTCCTTGAAGGTGGTGTACGAGATGATTTGAATAAGCTTAAACAGCAATGCGGCAAATAAACTAGATAAAACATGAATGTAGCAGCTCAAGTAGAAAGGCTTACCAGTGAAGGAAAAGCATCTATGGCCTGAATAACTGTTCTCATGAAGAGTAGAGGAAGAGAGGTTTGATCAACCTGACACATCAAAACAGTTACTAGGAATATCCAAGTAAATATAAACATCCATCATCCAAAGAAGGAAGGATAATATTTACATACCATCTGATTAAGGGCCTTTGCCAGGACCTGCTGCGTGAAAACTGTTCGTTGCTCAAAACAAGCTGAACAGGCATCTGTTATCTGTATACATAGAACAGAAAGATTACGATCATGGTGCGCAAAATACTAAAAGGAACTACTGCTTAAAACCTGAAATCCTTCAGCAAGTAGCAAAGGCAGTTCGGCATGGGATATAAATAATTAAGTTAGCATAATCTGAGACACAGTTTAATGAATATCATCAATGAGAAATACAACTAGCTAAGTTCGACGAATATGATTATAGAGCACAAAAAAATTAAAAGGAACAACGACTGGAAGACCCGAATCCCTTCAACAAATAGCAGAGGCAGTTTGGCATGGGAAATGAATAATTAAATTTGAATAATTTGACCCACAGTTAAATGAATATCGTCAATGAGGGAGACAACTAACTAAATTCTAAGAGCTTAAACACGGTTTTGTTGAATTGAATTTCTCTAGGCCTAGCAAGAAAGATTGCACAAGAACATTCAGATCATCTATCTTGGACTAGGGCAAAATCTTAGATGCATCGAATTGTGTAGATGTCAAATCCCAATTAAAGGCAAGTCTTGGTTGATATCTAGGTTAAAACGATGACCAGACTGACACTTACCAATCTAACATGTTTAAGAAACTGAAAAAAAAAAAATTTGTATAAAAGACGCATGAGCAGCTGCCATATAAGCTAACATTGCAGCAAATGTCAAAATTCACAGTTCATCATGGTTTACTCAGTGAAAAATTAGACATTTTCTTCTGATGAAAACTATCAACTCAGAAACTTAGGAAAGCAACCTTTTTGAGTGGAAGCCCATCCTTCTCAGGACTAATATCATGGATGGCAACCAACACTTCTGCTGGTGTTAACGCTGGACCTGTATGAGCTGAACCCTGTATGAACAGTTATTGAAAGTTAGCTATTTTCTTGCCTTCATAAGGAAAAAGTGAGAAAAGTTATAATCAACTCATCGTAACTGCCAGCATTTAGTGCAGGGATCAAAAGCTCAAGCAAGCCATTCATACTATCTGTATGCATATTAGCTAGATCTACCAAGATCAACATGGTTCAAAATTCTTCTGCATGTATAGTTGGATCATTTATTTTTATCCTTTGAGAAAAAACTGGAACTTATCCAACATTGGTTAAGTATAAAATTTAATGGCCATTTGTTGTGAATGTGCCACTCCCACAATCCATCTAGGCTTTTATAGCAAACGTATCTCCGACAAGTAGCATAAACATATTTTCCCACTAAGAATGACGGGACAAGTGAAACCTGCTGGCATTATAACCATTTCAGTCTCCAAACAAGCCTACAAATAAAGGAGATTCATGTGACCAATAATGGTGAAAATTAGTTTCTCCTTGATGAGTTGTATTCGAGGAACAAGTGCCCAGTATAATTGGTATAGTGCACGAAAAATAAAATCGCATTTAATTTTCACAAGAACCTGTAAAATATGAGCAAGCGCCATCTGGAATTTCTCTATTGGGAGTCCAACAAGCCGAGGGAAAATAGGCAAAACCTGCCACCAAAAAAGGAGTAACATCCAAATATTTAATAGACCATCTACAAGAATTTGAAAGAGCAGCACTCAAGCCAGATTTTCCAAAACAAGAAGGATGTGAGTATTTCACTCAGTGATCACATAGAATGCCATTGCAAAAAGAGAACAACATTAACTGAACTGAGGTTTGCATAAATTCGCTGTCTTGTGGTTGAGAAACTAACACTATATAGGTGGGTGGATGTATTTAACCCTTTTATGTGATCCGACATTTTGGTATGAAGCAACTACAATTCAGAAGCTTTTTTTTTCTTTCTTAATTTCATTTGTCTTTAGTTTACTATTGAGAAATTAATGGAGACATATTTAACCCTTTTAACTGACCTGACATTTTTGGTATGGACCCACTATGACTTGGAAGCTATTTTTGTTTCTTAATTTCATTTGTCTTTAGTTTACTATCCATTCAGAAAATGTGCCGTCAACAATCAATAAACGACATGCTGACAAAAGTCCACACAGGGAAATGATCAATGAAAGACAGAATGAGTCGCTAAGTCCCAGTTTTACAAACAGTGTGTGGTCTTTATGCATACAAACTTGGTAGAGAAGCCCATGCATATCAACTCTATAACCATTCAAGGATAAATGATTGCAAATATTCTTTCTGGTGAAAAACTTCATCATTGGGATAATCATGCTACCGGGTTAGCTTTTAAAGTTACTCAACAAATTGAACCACAAAGTTTAGAAACAGCAATCCATGTCCACCAGAAACTAGTTATAACTGTGAAGAAAAGGATAACAGGAGAGAACTGAAGGTGTATAAAATTCGAAATATAAAAACAAGGAGGAAGTTAATTTTAGTTATAAAAGAAGTCATTTTCAGTTTACTACGAGAAAACACTTAATCCTCCATTTCTTCTAAAAATATGAGAACCCTTTTCACTGATTGGGCACAAAAAGATGACCGTTTACATAGGTGACACAGCAGCACAAGGGTCTGTAGGCAATTTCTAACTCCAGACAATAGGTTTCTAAGTCCATACTTCTGTCCACAAACTCATCTAACTTCTGAATTAAATTGACACGTACAAACATGCAGGTGCTAGATAAAATGATCTTAGAGAAAAAAAGCGAGATACAAACGATGGAGCAGACCTCATTCTTTGAAAGTGAAGATAAAATCGGAATAAGTATCGTGGCATCCTGCAAGAGAACATTTAGCTGAATTAAGACCAATAAGATACAGGTATTAAAGCTGAAAATGGTAAAAGTTAGTTGTCAAATAACCTTTAACTTAGTTTCATATAAATGTTTGACTGTTGAAATCAGATTCACAGAAGGAGTTGATTCTTGAGTCAATATTTGCAGCACCTTGCCAGAAACAAAACCAAAATCGGCATAAGTCATGAACAGAAAATCTGAGAATAAATGCAAAAGAGTTCAAGAATGGAACAGGATTTCATAACAAATTTCCAAAAGGAAATTACCAGCATCAAAAGATTTTCACATCCTTCTGGAGGATCAGATATTATTCGGAGCAGTTCAGAATAAGATGAGCCTAAGGCCCTTATTAGAATAGGAATATGGCGATGAACAGCCTGCATTCCACAATTCAAGTTAAATTTATACAGAGCAAATAATGGCTTGAACAGTAACATTTAATATGTCAGCCAGAGAAAGAAAAATGAAGGAAGAGGTTCCATGATAGCATATATTCCAAAAAGGAGAAAAGAAATCACTTGGCAACAGAAAACCTACTCTTGCAAGCAGATGGAGTTACTAGAGCATAGGCAAGTCTATCCTCTAAACCAACTAAACTGGAACCTTGTATAACCATAGAGGCTCTTAGAAGAAAAATTTCTCAGTCAAAATAGAGGTTGCCACGTAGGAAAACATTTATGAACTAAATTAAGCTTTTATATATAAGACAACCGATGTACATGAAAATAGCCAAATGTCACCACACCTTTACAAGCTATAAAATTTAGAAAAAATAATTCAATAAACAAAGATTGACCTGCTTTACAGTTTTTGGTGCTCGTCCATAGATATCAAATACAAGTTGAAGGAGACTGGGGCTCTGAAAGATGAGAGAGCTTGGTCAGCATTTTGGAACATTAAAATAGAAAAGCTATTTTAAATCAACTGTGGAAGTTCATAGAAATGGTGCAAGATAGACAAACCTTCGTACATAAAGCAAAAAATAAGGAAATGTGTCTTTGCGCTTCAGGAAGTGGCATGGTCAAAACACTTTGGACTAATGATTGTGAACCCTTCATGGAGTCATTTTCACAATTTCCAGTCTCTGAGATTTGAGAACCACTAACTGATACTTCCTGGCTTCCCACCTAGAAAGAATTTTCATCAGAAAAAATGTTTTCGTGTAAGAATTTCTTTTGATACATGACACCTTTCTTCCTCCCCAAGTTTTCAACAGTCCCTAAATAGGTGTATATTACCTTCGAGTCCCAAAAGGACTTCTTTATCGCAATAATGTTAAACAGATTGGAAACTGTTTTTTAAATAAAGAAACAATGTTGAGGTATATACTAACTATCCTGGTCTGTCATAGGAGCAACTGGCACACAACTGTTCAATTATTCAAGGGCATAGATGGAGCATAACTATATAGCTCCGATCATGATAGCCTTCAATCTGAAGGAGGAATGTTCCATCCATCCAGTCAGGATGTATAGCTCACATTTTAAGGCCTAATAGCAAAATCAGCATTCATCTCCCTCCAGATGCCCCACAGGATAAATGAAGGAAACTTTCCACATTTAAGATAACATTGGCATCAATAAATAATATAAGGACAAATATGTCAAAAAATATATATGTTCCATACCTCCCCTTCCCTTTGGTCAGTGGACCCTGACTGTGAAGGCTCGATATCTGAAGCAGGCTGTTCCACAGCAGAGAGCAGCATATTTGTTGCAAATTGCTCAATATTTTGTGATATGTAGTTTAGCTGATACAGTTTGTTTGCTACCTGCCCAGAACATAGACAAATTGATGTAGAACACATGATACAGTTTTGGTCACTGTAGGTAGAAGTGAAATTAGTTTTGACATGAAAATCCAAGCCAACAGCTTTCAAAGTCCATTAGCAGAATGTGAACAGTTTTAATGACCAAAAAGCAAAGCATACCAGTCGGATAGCTTTCGCTCGAATGTCATCTTGTGAGTGAACAGCACACTGCCATCAAGATATAGTTGCATAAGTAAAAAATGTGATTTATAGTACATAGTATTACTTTCTATATATGCCTGTTGAAATATCTTCTTGGTGAATGCGGGTAAGGGACCATGAATTGCTTTCACTAATTCTTTCTTCATATTAGAATAAAAAGGTGTGGGTAAGGGACTTCCCCAACAGTGTGTAAAATGATGGGTAAATTTATTATAAAGGTTGGACAATTTAACCAAAGCAACATGAATATACAAGATTAATAGGCAGTAATTCATAAATGTACGAGACTCCATGGAAAAACCGTGACAACCCTATGCCACTTTCAGTGGAAAAATTAGTGAATAACAATCAGATTCATGTCAATATTGCTAGCTCAGTAATCAGCTACATTATTTCATATTTTGCAATAGGTTTCACTTTTCTTGTTCATAATCATGGACAACCAACAGATAAAAAAGGTAATGAAATCCATATCCACTGCATTAATATCTCTCTCAGACAGGGATAGGTCGCCTTCTTCCAGAATTAGTCTAGTTACCCTTGGATAATCCAAAATCAGGCTGCCTACGGGATCTTAAATACACAGAACACCTGAGGGGTTTTATGAACCAAAAACAGAATGTTTTGAAATTCCTAAAAATGTCCACATGAAATTACTCTCCTCCAATATAACACACAGAGAATGACCGACTCAAAGTAAGACATTTCATGAGCATGAATTCAAACATATAAATTACACACAACTTAATGCTACCAGATTTGCAAAGCCAAGTTACCTTCAAAGCTATTTCTAAGAATGCCTGCCGGTCGTTTGGACGCCCCAAAATCAAACCCCATACAGCACCTAGTCCCTGAGTGACACGCTCACCATCACGAACCTCTTTTCCGTGAGAATCAAAAACATCACAATGGCAAAGATCGTCTAACAATCTGAAGGCAGACTCGGGCAAAAAAGGAACTTCACTGAGAAGTTTACTAAAGGACTTGTCTGAAGCTGGAAAAGCATCCAACAAAGATCTGGCCTGCATTGAAATATTAAATAATTATTCATAAACAAATCATTTAAAACAAATGGCAGAAGAAAAGCTCATACCACTACTAAGAGGAATTTCTCATAGACAACAGCAGCATATGAAGCGCTTTCAGCAGAATCTAGAATCGTTAGAGAATGTAGATGGTACAAAATATGCAACACAAGCTCATGCCCCTGACCAAAAAAATAAAAAGTTCGATCACAAAAAGTTGAGGTAAGAGATAAACAAATGACAATAAGCTTATCGACTCCAATAATGAAAAATCCATTTGTTAGCGACAGAACTGTAAGAAAGTACATTTCATTGATCACGAACATGAAAAACTTTACTAACTATTATACTATTTCTCTTGAAAATTATGTACGATTGATTTCTAACTTTTTACAAGATTCCACATCAAAAACATTTTCCAGTACCAACTTTGATGAATTATCAGCTCACACTCACAAAGAGAGTCAGAGTTAGATAGAAAGAGTGATATACTTCCAAGAAAATAATAAAAGTCATCGCAGTGGACTAATTCTACTCTCAACAAATTTCAAAGCACCCAGACACAACGGTAGAATATTCATGAAAACGAGTTGAAACTGCAAGGTACAGGAAAGGAAATACCTTGTGCTGTCGATAATCCATTAAGACATGTTTTTGCAGCATCACAACAACATCATCATCTGCATCAATCTGAAAACAACACTCCATTACTTTGCAAAACCAACTATATATAGGACCAAAAGTTAGCATCAAACAGTGCTTATAAACTTTAACTCCTGATCAGGCTTAAACTAATCTATTATTCTGCACACCACATACAGACCAACATTGGCACTACCTGAGCAACTAATCGAGCAAGTAATGCCATGCGTGTCAGGCTGTATTCGGTCCCCGAGATACGCTTGTAAGATTCAATAATCCGTTCAACTGCTAATTGTCTCACGGTTTTCTGTTGTTCTTCATTGAGTTCAACATATGGGGGAAGCTGAGGTAAATCAACTTGACAGATCTCTTCAGGCAAAGATGTGTTTGAGACATCTGGAGAAAGCTGCTCAGGTTCCATTGCAGATAATGTGTCAGCCCCGGATGCCACTTCAAAATCTGATACCTTTAATACGATAGAGCCCTCATCAAGAGCGTGAGGAGGAGAAAATGCATGATCTGAAGAAGCATTGGCCTCTGACATGGGGACAATTTCCTCAGGTCTACTGATAATCTCCTCTTTCACGCTGATTTGATCAGTTTCAGACACCAGTGGACCTTCTAAACTCTTATCCTCACATTTGCTGTTTGACATAAAAGGTTCCAGAGGATTCTCAACTGATGTCACAACAGGGAGAGGAGAAGGCTTACTAAAAGAAACCGAGCCATCCATTTCAGGTTGCATTCCACCATGGTCATCCACAATGGCTACAGATGGTACTCCAATTGATGTAGCAGTACGACGTGGATCCAGGCGGCGGGGATCCTGAGAAAGCAACTAGTAAGTTATTTGAAAGTAAAGGATAATTCAATGTCTCAAACAACAAGTGACTCAGGTAAACTGAGCATACAGGCACACACACAAAAATAATTATAGGCTGGTGAACATACCCTTCTTGGATCACGTTTTGAATCTACAGCGAAATTATTGACAGTGGTTGTATCAGACAATGATAAATTGCTTGCAGAAACCACAGGAAAGGGTCCTTGAGTGGATGAAACTGGAGCAGATGGTGCCACTACCTGTGCTGAAGTACTTGGAGAGCAATTTTGCTGAGTTACTGGCAAGCTGCCAAGCCTTGTTAAAGGAGGGGAAGACTTAGGCAAATGCTTCATATTAGTAATGACAATATCTGCAAGCAGATCAGGATGAATATTTGAAATAAGAAGTTCAAGTGATTCAGCACCCCTCTCTCCTTCAGCAAGCAATGCACCAATCATAGCAATCATTTGTTCTGCAGGAGTCAAATCACTATCTGATAGATGAACATTAGCTGAGGCCCCATTAACCAATGCAGAATCCTTATCAGAGTCATTTATTTGAAGTGGCATAGTTGAAGTGTTAGGACCATAACGAATCCGCTTTGGAGCCATCTCATGACCATTAGTTTGCTCTTCATTATCCATAGGCACGGGTCTTTTCCGTAGCTGATCTCCTAAAACGGACTGGCTTGTCGACTGATCATCCTAAGGATCAGAAACAAATCCAACAAGACAATTAAAAATCAGTGAAAAAATATAATTCCAACAATAACAAGAGTGACAATGGATGCGGTAGACAGTATTTTGAAAAGGTAGCTACCCTGATAAACCTGACTTCGCGAGAAGTGCGCTCATTATTTTTCATCATTTTATCAACTTGCCGGATAGCTTGATCAGCAGCATCCCCAGCACTCATTGCACGTAAAGCCCTTATCAATCTATCCCTTGACTGGAAATGAAATAAGAATCCCAATTTGTCAGTATGAAGATAAATAACAGTGTACTGATACCACTTCCCTTATCATTCATGACCAAGCAGTATTAGTTTCTTCATTCCAGTTTCAAAGCATAATAGATTTCATTTGTGCTGCTGTTTCATCCTTAAAGACCTCTTGCACGAGAAAGCTAGTCTATTTGAGAGATATAGAAAACAAAAATGATGCACCTGATAGTATAGACATGGAGAGTTAATTTGTGATACAAGTCTTACGTGTAGTAGGTCCTGATTCTACCACATGTACAGAACTATGTTTTTAATCTAGAATCTCTCATAAAAACATTTATTTTAGGTTGTGATAAAGAATACCAGTGGCCCAGAAGGATATGAGCTGAAAGATTTTGCATTTGGCAAGTGGCATCCATATTAGCAGCAGATTCTGGTTTAATTTTGTGCAAAGAAGAACTCTTGCTGAAACATAGAATTGATAGGTAGAGCTATAAATGCCATAAAACCAACAACAGTAGGGAAGGAGAGGCTGAAAGGTAATTTATAGACTCTGAAATGAAGATTTGAACGGTTAGGTAATTTTCTTTAACTTCAATTTCCGTTTATTTTATTGGGATAGAATTTATGATTTCAAAATTTAATGAACATAATTTCTTCAAATAAAACATGTATATTCAAAATTAAGAAATATAATGAAGATTAGGGCTATTAGCTGTAAAATTATATACAGTTCCCCATTGACATAATGACATGTAATGCAAAGTGATTCAGATTTTTTTCTATTTTTTGTGACAAAAAAGGTTACAATGTAAAGGAACTACTTCACCTCCAAGATGGTTGGATAAGTACTCCGCAGGAATCCCAAAAAGGCAGTTCTTAAAGAGTACAGGATACTGGCAGCATGACGTCCCTTCACTGTCTCAACTTTTTGATCAAAATCAAGCAAGGCAGAAAGAATAGTCCCGTAGTGAAGAGGCCTCTTCCGTGCTACAGATGCAAGACTGTCAAAACAGATAGTTAGGTCATCAGATAGAGAAGAATCTAATAAAATACCATGGACACAGTAACTTGAGATAAATCTGAGACAGGAGCAAACCATAGACCTAAATGATGACCAAAAATAAAAATCATTGAAACAAAGTATAAAAACTCATTGAGACTTGAGATCAAAGAACTTAAGAAAATAGAAACAAAAGATGATCAAAAGAAACATAATCTGAAAGCAACCTATCAGAAGAAATATGTGGAGATATTATGCACATTGCTTGGAAGGGAAGCAATTGCTCACACAAATCAAAAAGGTGCATCACAACCATAACCTTCAAATATATTAAAGTTCACAAACAAATTCAATAGTAAAGGCCATGAAGAAATGTTTGAACAACACATAAAGAATATATCAAGCAGATAAAAGTTGAGGATGACAATCATTTGATGGCCAAGTGCTTATGAAACCCACACCTTGCCCAGTCCTCAATCATGAAGTTCACTATAATCCTGAAATGCACAGTTACACAACCTTTACAGACAAAAGGAAATTTTATTCAAATAGAAAGAGTACAAGATTCCAGAAAGGAGAATGAGGCATCCTCCATAGGAAGAAGTAGAAGCTGGATTTAATAAGGTCGAAACACTTGCAGCTTACAAGAGAAACCCTGGCAGCCAGGAAATTGGCAATTGACTGGCAGAAAATGGACATCCTAGAACAATAATGTAAAACAACAATGATGGGGTAAACTGATCTTCCCAGGAATGAATTTCTCAAAAAAAAAAAAAAAAAAAAAACTCTGTACGAGATTAAATCGGGATAATCAAACAAAAACTCAAACCGGCTGGTAATACCATATTAACAATTAACATAGACCATGAATTACTACCCCCATATGCGAGTCAAGTCCAAATAAACATTAATCTCTTTTATGCTATCATAAAAGGTGAAAAAGGTTAATGCATGCTAATCCTTAAGCTCTCACCTTTTGGGTTCATTCAACTTCTTAAGACTTATCATAAAGGCCTGTGAAGGAAATCCATATTCTATTGACATATGGAGAAGAAATCAAATGAGGAAATAACATATCTATTGCACTGCATAAGTATGCTGCAGTATCTCTAAACCTCCTGTAACCAAACGTTCTGAATTCTTTCATTGGCATCAGCCACCATCAAAATCTAGCATGTTTTCTTTTCCATTACTGCCGAAAAGATGAGGTTTACTTTAGAGGAACTTGTGTTTAGCTTCTGAAATCATGTACTTTTCTTCAGCAAGAACTAAGGGACAACAATACACACTGTCTTTAAAAATCATGAACTAAGAGCTGTGGGACCATAGAAGCAGTGGTATACCACATTAACCAATGAACCTTCCATAACTTTTCCAACATCATGAGTAATAAAGGAATGGATGCTATGAATGATGAAATCTCCTAGACAAAAGAAGTCTATCTGAGATATTCTGCTTACCACTACAAATAATCAACTGAGAGATCTACTCAAGTGAGAATCCAAGAAAATAGCAATTGGTACTTAATTAATCAGGTTGACTCTACCTGCTCTTCTAAAAAAAAGCAACATCGTATACAAGATTGAAGGATACCGGGGAAGAGTTTCCTGAAATCCCTCTCCATCTCCAAACTTTCTTACACTCTAACAGGATACTCTTCTCCAACCTTACAGCTATCATTCAACAACAACATTCCTTCAACATTAGCAGATACAATGTCCTTCTCTAAAGGGATCAGCGAGCTTCGGAAATAAGGCAAAATATCGGTGCATTGTTATTTTATCATACAGACCATGTGCTTTGAAATAGAGGATAAAAAAAAATCAAACGGTACTGCCACTATACAGTCAGCAACATTCTCATCAAACCTAGACTGCTGTAATCTTCTCTAACATGATGTAAATACAATCAACTAACCGAACATAAATATCTTTGAGCACTGCACAAAATAAGCTCCATTCATGGCAGCAAGCACTCAAACTACTTCATACTAAAACTACCACACGCTCGAGGCATAGCATGCTAGTTTTAAGCTTTGCAGGCCAAAATTTGACATAAAAACTGGACAGAGAAAATTGCGTTATTGCTTTAAATTAAAGCAAATCAATGAAGTAGATGCATACTAAGCCTGTGCCAATGAATGAAAACAGTAGTCCACATCCACCAAGCACCAGAGCAAAGGAGAAAAACAGAATTCATTATGTGACAGCCTTGACTTGCAATTCATCCACTTCACGACTTGCATCAGAACTAAGGTGCAGACATAGTTAAGCACACCACTAACTGCAAAGGTGCCTGAGCCATGGCTTTAAAAAGGTGAGGGTTTGCATCACTGTCTAAAGGATATAATCTAAGAGATATCATCCCCAATGGCATGCAATTCATAAATGTTTCTTTACGGTACGTAAGCCAAGTCAAAGCGTGGTTAACTTATTAGCTGGAACCAGAAACATGATCCAACAAAGCAAATAAGGCAGTGTTTCTAGCCCCAAAGAAGGGTGGGGAGGGAAGAAAAACAGGACCAACACAACCCCCATCACTTGAAAAGGTTATACTAACTCTAGAAACTAATAAAAAAGGAGTTCCAAAAAAAAAAAAAAAAAAACTAAGTGTATTCAATACTACTGCATGAACCAAAAAGAAAAAAGAGAGAACAAAAACAAAAATTCTAGAGTTTTAACCTACCCACAATTGCTCAATGTAGCTAGCGATCACAAAAACATTGATAACATCAACCCCATCTCAACAGAATGCTAGCAAATAAACCATGGATGAAAGTTTTAACATGAGGGACCTAAAAGGATATATTCACTTAGTCCTGATCAAATTATGTCTTGGAGATTCATATAAACTAGTCCACAAGGCCCTGTAGCATGTAGGGGTGCAATCAAGCATCCAAACATACAGCCCCAGTGTAGTACAACACACTACGACCATAATACCAACAGAAGAAAGCAGCACAAGAGTGATCAGTTCAGTTCAACAAAGCAAAGCCTCATCAAAGTTTTCATGGCACCAATGTTGTTGCAAAACTAACCCTCATCAAAGTTTTCATGGCATCAATTTTATTGCAAAACTATGTTCTATGCCAAAATGCAACGTTGTGTCCTTGTGAGTTTTTTTACATTATGTCAGATTTAACTAATCCAGCATACCAAAGTATCAATGGAACCACACAACACCTTTAGACATAACTTGCATTTATTTTTATCATCTAATATACAGCCATGTATCTAAAGGGGAAAACACACCATAGCTTTCATAAGTATATTTCGTCCAAAAACTTGACATCATTCCTTATATTTTAATAAAACATCCTACAGAAGAGGCGGCTGTCCATTCAAACAGCTAATCTTTGCTTAACATCAAAGATAACCTCATTTTAAGAGTCAACAAGTTTATTTTGAAAAATTCATGAATTTCAACAGAGAATGGCATTCTTCAATGCAGTTCTACTTATTTTCTTTTCCCTTTTATCAATATATCCCTGCCACACATTACTTATTGGAGCTTCAATATACCCTACAACAAGAATTAAGGACCTCATTCTCATACCAACATGATAAAATCACATGAACCTTCCGCCCATACATTCATCATGTATGTAAACCAGGTCATCATGTACAACAAGAACTGCAATTTCAAGAAATGAACTCAGCAAACAATAGATAGTCATCTGTATAAACATATTTAGCAGCTGCAGATCATCAAAGAAGATGACAACACAGAAACAGAATAAACATTTGGAACTCTTGAATCGACAACAACATAATCACCGAGATATTTGCATGTGACAGTCAGAAGCATAACTCCAAGCATGCTTGTTAAGTACAAATATGTTTGGAGTTTTATGTGTTGTGTTGTTTTTTTATTTCCCATCTCTTTTGATGGTTAAATATAAAATTACAAACATGTTTGCTTTATCAGCTTCAGCTACATTCTACAAGAACATAAACAAAATAAAACTTCTATCCATGTGAATACTTTGTGGCTAATGAAAAATCATTAGTTTTCATTGAATATTCATATTGATGCATCTAATGGACTGTCATGCGGCATAAGTACTAGTAGACATGCATCAGAACTTCCAGAATTACTTTTACCCACTCTTTCCAGAAGCCTTTTAGAACATAACAAATTAACAATCGTTCACTAACTTTCGAGAAGTATCAGACTAAAAGGTTTATACAACCATGCCTTCCTTTCTGCATATAATCCAGCTTGATGGATGGCAAAAGCCCATTTGCAAACTTCTAAGCTTTTTTTAAAGAATAATAGGTTCCAGTTTCAAATCTAAGTTGATGCACATATTACATAGTACAATCTCAAAGAGAGCATTCGTCGCCCAACTCAAAAAGCATCGCAGCATGGATAATACATTTGACATTATGGACAATAACCTAACAGATAGTACCCAAGTATATAAATGCTAACAATAAAGCCAGTAAGTATATGCAAAAAATGCAGAGCAACTAAAACAATTGAGATAGAAATTTGGAACCGTAATAGATGAATAGCAGATATAGCAGGATAATAATCCCCATCTAAAAAATAATTTCGATTAATTAAGGTGTTGAATTGTGCATCAACTGTAATAAAACAATAGATACATTTTCAAATATCTAGGACAATGTCAAAAAAAAAAAAAAAAGTAAAGCATATGGTCTCTCTAACAGTTTACAAACCATAAACTGCGTAGCATGACCACCCAGTCTTTCTCAGCACCTGGGGTGATCATTTTACCATCAGTTAACCATTCCTATCACTTGGCCAATGGTGCTTGTATCCAAAAAATGTGGACATTGTCTAGCCCTGTAACTCCCATTGTCTGAACCACCAATGCAGCTATATCCAGGCCCAATAATTCCTCATAAGAGAGTTGGTCAGCATGCTGCAATCATACCACAAACAAGCAGTTGAACTTGTACTACAACCTGTTTCCAAACTTTGGTTATCCCTCCAAAATTTTCAAGATAATGTAACTCGGGGCAATATGCAGTTTACTTCCTACATCTATGAAAATTATAAGCCTTTCATTAATTGGAAGATGAACAACAAATCAGAACTGGTAAATACATGTTTGATTTACTATAATTGCAATCAAATGTTCATGTTCACATGTGGCAAACTAGGGTTACTAATGGCTACGTCAAATGGGGATAAGGAAAAAAATTCAATGACACATCAAAAAAGCCCGCAAAATATTTTAGAAGAGTAAAAGACACAATGAAGCTGAAAATGAGCCCATGATGTAATTATGGGGGAAATAGCACATTGCGCCTGCACGTGCCTCTGTGCGTCTGCAACTCTGCATATACGGAGGAAAAAAGAAATGGCTTACCGTGTGTGTGTTTGTGCCTCTGCATATGTTTATACATGTTCTATCTTCTGTATCAGAATGCTTAAGAGCTAGGATAAAGTATAAGAAAATAGAGGAGATCTATATGTCATAAAGATGCCAAATGAGAATAATCACTGGCCAATATTCATCAATGTGTGTGGATATCCAGACAAACTAAACAACCAATAGGGTATGAGCAGTATTTATGTGCACAAATATGATATTAATGTACCAAAATGAATTATAAAATCAGGCAGTTTACAAATAGTTTTCCCCTTCTTAAGAAAGTAGCATGTGATGTTCAAAAAGCCTTTAGACCTTCCGTTTATTTAAATTGATAGAACAAATGATCCACTTCACCCAGATACAACAAAGAGCAACAGACCTATAGATTCCTGATGGTACTCCCACAACATGGATGCTGACTGTATCTCATAATAGCCAAACAAAGGGATGCACTGGTTTTGGCTCTTTACACTCCAAAAGAAAATGTCAAGAAACTATTTACCCAGAAACAATGAAGAAAGAAATTAGCAAAGATGGAAAAAAGAAAGGGCATGGTTAATTTAAGAATTACCACAAAAGAAGATAGGCACCCAAAAAAAAAAAATCAATACTATGATGTTTTTAGCTAAAAAAAAAAAGATCAAAGGATATGCAATGAACCAATGACATCCTATCATATCCACATCTATGTACCAATACAGTCAAATTGATTAAAGGCCTGTGAAACTCACCAATTGACAACAGCAATCATCAGTGCACCAGGAAGACTACCAGGCGACCGCAAAAATCCAAAAGAATGCCAACAGTCTTATTGGCATCTGACATGAGAGCAACTGGATCCAAAACAGGATGCCCACCAGCTACCCATGAAATGTTGAATAGCCGTCTGTTTCCTATGGTAAAAAGAGCCAAATCAGAAGGCACAGCTATTAATTTGCTTTAAGAAAAGCACGAATCAAAGTCAAGAAAAAACTTCAGACAGGAAACACAACAATCAAATCATCTTAAGATCAGAATGCAATACCTTCTGCAACAAGTCTGTCAGAATCATTGGTCTCAGTGGTAAAAAGTAAAATGTATGTTTCCAAAAATTTCAATGCCAGCAACTTTGTCCTAACAGGTCCAGGCTACGATCAAATTAAAGCAACATTCAGTTTGTCAATATATTTCAAATGCCTAATGGAAAGGAAATAGAAAGCTCACTCAAATTAAAAAAGATTTGATTTACTCAAAACAGCAGCAGCTGTTGGTGTTATAAATAGTTCAATGAATGAAGAATCCCTCTGTCATTGACCAGAACAGCATAATATCAAATTTCTACAGCCAATAATTTCGTCCGCTTTCTTTAAACAAAAGGCACTTTCTTACAGCCTGTTAATATGTAGAAAGGTAGCAAAAATCCAATTGCTCACAAACTAGCTAGCTCTTCTAAACACAGAAAATTGCAGCTGAGTAAATCAATGACTTTTGTAAGGAACCCCATACCCACCCCCTCCCCCAAAAAAAAAAAAATTATATAGGGGAATAAGTTACCCGTGTACCATTTGATGAGAACATAACAACATAGATTATTACCCATGAATTAACAAGCAGAAGGTAAAATCTGCAAATAAACAACCATATTCACACCATACCTCCAGTGCAATTGCAAAAACAGCATCCTTGAACTTAAGCATCCGTATCCATAGTTCTTCAAGCCATCGTTCCACCTTACCACGCCGGTGACACTATAATTTCCAAAATAAGCATAATTGCAAAAGTGTAAAGATAAAATAACACAATTTAAGAAGTAACAATTAGAAGAAACGATGGAGTACATTGAAATGTATCTATCATGTCAAGGACAATTCATTATAAGCTACATAAAAAATGACAACAAACCAAGTTGACTCAAACATCAAACTTGTCACCCAAAAAGGGAAAGATGGAGAGAGCAGAAAGATACCTGCAATGTCATTTCCTCTAGAACACCACAAAACAAATGTGTGCCACTAACAATAGACTCTCTTGCAACAATAGAATCGTTATCTCTTAAAAGTGCCAATAAGACAGGTATTAGTACTGTGCAATTCTCCATTGCTTTCAAACCAATTTCTTCAATTGTCCTGCCAGCCACATACAATAAAAATATTCACCGGAATGAATTTTTGCTAAATACTGTAGCAAGAAAAAAACCGCGTTATTGTAAACAAGAAATCACAATCAGTCACAAAAAAAAAAAAAAATCAGTAAGCTAGTATTCATTACAAGGGGAAAGCACATCGACACTTAAAACGAAACCCTAACCCTAAAACTACCTTCTCGTGATCACACAATTAGCAACCAAATTAAAGTATCCATGCAGAAAATAAGAATAAATTGACCAAAAAATGTAGAAATTAAGGTTTTGAAACTAACTCAACAAGCACTTGTCGGACGATCGCCTCCGGTGAGAATTGCAGTTCGACTAAGTAAGGAAAAGCTCAGCCGCCAACGACGGCTCGAGTGACCATAAAATATCTTTGGCTTGCTTCAGAGAAGAGAGCTTAACAGCCAAATCGCCGTGATTATTCGCTGCAGAGAGGAGAGATAGCGCTTGGTCCACTGAAGCCATTGTTGACCGTAGAATTTGGTTCTATACACGGCAGGGATTTTGATTTTGGAGTGCTTGGGTGTGTTAGGGTTTGGAGGGAGAGAGATTTGGTTTTGTTGGTATAAGAAGCATGGAATTGGAATTGGAATTGGAATTAGAATTGGAGTTTCGTTCGTTTTTTAAATCAGCGGGATTTGGACGTCGTTGGGCGTTTGAGACTTTTTGGGATAGGGCTTTTTGGCTCTATAAATAGGTCGATGATGTTGTTGATGATGATGATGAACTGTCTTTTGCAGAGCGAGGGCCCAGCGCTAATGTGCGCTGGGTGGGTGTCTGTGTGCTCCGTCTCTCTCTTTTTTTTTTTTTTTGTTAATGTTTATTTTACCCTCTAACATTTTTCTTCTTTTTTTCCTTTCTTTTCACGAGAAAATAATATTTATTTACCATTTATCTAAAGAAGAACTAAAACTCAAATTATTTTGGAATTGACTGAACACTTAACCCCAAAAAAAAAAACTAAAGCTTTATCATGGTGATATTATGAAATGTATTACATATTTTTAACATTAATTATTAAAAAACTTGTTGTAATCCTCGTAAGTACATTTTAAATAAAAATGTATCGGGGATTCTTGTATTATTGATCAAAAGACAAAGTTCATAGCAAGTTATTCAAGGCAAATGGTCCTTGGACAAAATAAGAAGTAAAAAATAGTTTTTTTGTAGTTGATGTCGATCTAATTGTTTTTTAAGATAAAATATATTCAAAACCGAATATGCTATCGATCAAATCACAAACAATACCTAAATAAATCATTCATTGCAAATTGAGTTTTTCTATTAAGTAAACTAAGGTGTTCCGAGCTAGGCATGTGATTTTACTTGACTTAAATTGGATGAAAATATGACATCATTAAACATAAAAACTTAACTTTACATCCACATTTATTTAGAAACTATTTACGTTGAATTATTTCTTCCAAAACGGTTTGCGTTTTGACCAATACACAAAGAGATTTGAATCATTTTACCCTGCATTTTATTAGTAATCAATTGTTTTTTTGTTTATCGTGGACGAGTTTAATTGTTTTTTAACAAAGGTTTTTCTCAAAAATAAAATTCGAAGTAAAGAGGTCTATTTGGAGAGATTATTGGTTGTTTCATTGCTTTCTTTAATCCTTTTTTTTTCTCCTTTAGTGTAAGGTTTTAATTTTGCTTTTGAATGTATAAGGTTCTTTTTTAATTGGATGTTTTTTAAGTTTCTTTTAGGATGTTAATTGGATGTCCAAAGATTTTGCTTCCGATATCTTTTTGTGTTTTAAGGTTCGTTGTGTTTTTTTAAGTGAAGTTATTTATTGTGGGTTTTTTTATATATATTAAACATCTAATTCTATTTTTTAAAGATTGAATCTTTATTATGATAAAAAAAAATATCGGACCTTTGTTTTTCTTTTATGTGATGCTCTCATTCCCTTGCCCGGGTTTTTTTTTATGACTTCTCCGTATTTTTTTATATCTCGTTGCTTTTTTCTAATTATGTGATTTGTTTATCGTAACTTTTTGGTTAATTGCATGCATTTTATACTACGTTATTTAATACAACGTTCGATAAATTATCACTTCAAATATCATTGCATTGTGTTTTGTCATTATTCTTTTTGAACAATTGAATTGCAACATTTCATTGTTATCAAACTAGCTATCGCTAGTTTTTCAATACATACACTATTCATATTTTTGTAGACAAAAATAATTGAAGAAAAAAAGTAACATATTTGATAAGATAAATGTGAAAAAAGTTTTCAACATTTTGTATTTTGTTAAAAAATAATATCCTTTTCAAATCTCTTGAGATATATTTTTTCAACTCTTCCGTTTACAAACTTCTTTTTTACATCATCTATACTTTTGTGCACTCTCTCGAGCACGATAAATACATTGATCATGATTACAAAATCAATTGAAAAATCAACAATCATAAGTCCATAACCAATGTTATAATATTTATATATAAAGACATGCACATAATTGAATTTGCAATCTTGACCGGAACCTCAAGGCCTCATAAATCAAGAACCATGTATTATAGAATATGTTGTTTTTGTTTTCATTTGCAAGATCCGGTGTAAGGAAGATTTAGTCATTCTCTTTGATTTACAAGATTGGATAATGCATGGATTGAATAAAAGAAGGAGAGGAAAAAAATTCAAAATCAAATTTATCTTTATACATAAAAGAGAAAAAGAAATACTAAATGAGTGATCGGCTTGATAATTAACCGAGTGGTTTATAATTTTTCAATCTACAATTCAACGAATGTACCTCTTTATATGAAAAACTCTATCATAAAAGCTCACAAGCTAATGTTAGTTGAAATAACAAAAAACTTTGTATTGAATAATTGAACAACCAGATCCTAACACCATAAAAAAAAACCTTTTAATTAGATAACAGTAATTTATCAATAAAAACTAACGAGTCACTTGATAAAAGTTTATTATGACATTGTAATTATGGAGAGAATTGTTGTAATCTTCATATTCATCTTTGTATCTTTTCAAAAGTTTGAATTTTAAATAGACAACTATTGAGACAATGATGGACAATAAAAAAACCTAAAATAATATTTTGTTTGGTGTAGTTTGTCTCTCCATCTCTCGAAACCAATTGATACAAAAAAACCATAAAAATTTGTATTTGTGAGGTAGAAACTAAAAATTGTCACTAATGTGGTAAGAAAAACAAAATGGTTGTTATTCATCGCACAAAAATTAAAGTACAAAAATCAAGCCAAAAATATAGCCATGGAAAGAGAAATAGCCATGCATGTTATGTGAAAAGTTCCAAACCACAACAATTTGTTCATTGCTAAAAGAATGGCCAAGCATATTTAGTAAAACCATGAAAGCATTTTAATTTTGATCGTTTAAAGGTCATCTCGTGTACATAATGAACTCATTAACACAAGTCAATTTTTTTAGTGTTATTCTTTCAATAAGTCAATTATAATTTTATTGTTTACTAATAATGTATTTCAAAAAAAGGAATTTTGTGCCACTTCGAAATATTATGTTGGTTATTCCTATTGTTAATAGTGTTTTAAATTCATGATGGAGTACTAACTTGGCAAAAAGATAACAAAGTATTAATAATCTCACTTCCACCATTTAATTTTAGAAAAATATAGAAATAAGATGGGACAAAGTAGGAAGGTTTGAATTATGTGGTATTAAAAGTAACTAGTTACTTCTTTATAGTGTTCCTTTTCTCCTTTTTTTTTTTTTGTTTTTTGGCCAAAAATTTTAAATCTCATTAATTGTTATTTTTTCTAAATACATGCATTCTTTGGATAGAAAGGTTTATTTAGATAGGTCGTTGCTTGTTTCATTACACTCTTTAACTCTTTTTATTTTTCATGCTAAGGTTTGAATTTTGTTTTGAATGCATAATGCTTCTTTTCTAGGTTTTTTTTTCTCCTTTTTAAATAGTTTGCTTTTAGATTTATTTTAGAATGATAATTAAGTGTCAAAAGATTTTGCTTTTGAGTTTTTTTTTTTTTTTATGTTTTAAGGTTGCTAGGTTTTTTTAGGGCATTTCATTAATTATGGCTTTTATATATTTATTTATTTCTAGCCACTATCAATTTTTATATATTAAACATCCAATGCAATTTTTTTAAGATTGGATCTTTGTCGTGATAAAAAAAAAAAGATTAGATGTTTATTTTACTTGTATATGATGTTGTCCTTCCCCATCCAAACATGTTTTTTTTTATGTCTTTTATATGTTTATGTACATTGTTTTCTTCTAATCATGTGATTCATTCCTTATACTTTCGTTGTTAGTTGCTTGTATTTATATCATATTATTTAATATAATATTCTATAAATTATTATCTTAAATATTAACTCACGATATTTTGTTACTCGTTCTTTTGAACAATTGTGTTAATACTCGATTTTTGCCCTTATTATTTTTTACTTTTATTTTTATTTTTATTCCAAACATATCAAAAAATAAGAATAATAAACAAGACAAAAAACACCAAGTATAAAAAGATAAAAAACCAATTAAAACAATTAGCTTAGATCGGTTCTGAAGGGGACTAATTAGGAAAAAAAGAAAGTTTAAAAATAGAAAAAGATAATTGAGGGTATAATTAAAATAATTCAAAACCTCTATCCTTTAATTAAAATAAAAAGGGGGTACAATTAAAAGAAATAAAAAAGAAAAATCCTAATTAATTAAGATTTAAGGGTCCCATCAAAACAAATAACTAAAATCAAACTTAAATTAATGAATTATAGAGAACCGAAAAGCAAATTGGACTTTTTCTAAAAAACCAAAAAAATACCTACAAAAACCCATTTGCCTTGTTTTTGATATACTACTATTCACTCACCATCTTTAACAAACCCAACCGACTCCCTCTCCTTAAATAAAAAAAAAAAAAAAAAAAAAAAAAAACTTCATCTCATGAACTATTATTCACTCGTTATCAAAAGAAAAAATCCAACAACCATAACCTTTCATCTTTCTCCCCGTATTTGGCTACAATAACCAAAAAGGGGAGGATGAGGTAGACATACTTCATCTTTCTCCCCTCCACTTTCAAGCAACTACAACCCCCTACACCCAAGTAGCCACCTTCACTCCTCACCGTTACTACCTTTACTCCAGACCACCCGAGCCATCACTACCCTTGTCATAACCCATGTCCTTATCGTCGCACCATGTACTAAAAAAACTAGCCTTTCTTTACCATCACTCTATCTTATGTATTTTCATTGATTACTACCTATTGACATTAAGAGCATAGGATTGATCATTCCAAAATAATTGCACTCGTCAATGACAATTGTAGTAAGTAAAGTAAATATATAATTATTATTGGTGCGGACGTTAGTAGGCTTCATCGCTTATAGAAAAACATAAAATACTCAAACAAGATAAGTTTAGAAATAAAACTCATAATCTCGTAACAATTTAACCAAAAGCTTCAAGTTGATTCAACCAAAAATAGTATTTAGTTGTTCATAATTAGTTACAAAGAGAGAGCTTTTTATTTATAGTGGTCGCTAAGAGTTAGAATCTCCCTCTAATGAGAGAATAATAAAATGAAATCCCAACTTCTCTATTTACAACAAAAGGTAGAGTAACAACACATACATGGTAGTTCCACATGGCTGGTTTGTTAAAACACGTGGCTTGCTTGACTAATGGACATAATTATATGCCATTTACACTTAATCTCATGTCTTTTTTGCTTCATCTCGTGTCCCTAACTACTTTCCATGTGATTTTTTGCTTTCATTTCGTGTCCTAGCTTCAACCTACGTGATTTTTCGCACTTCATCTTGTATGAATAATCAACTCGAATGAACTTAATACGAGTCAAATTAGGGTTTGCATTCTTAATGGCAGTCGTAGACCTCTTTCTTATCTTTCTAATGCATTAATGCTTCCATCTACAACTTAAGTTATGATCTAAATACTAATATCAACTTAACCTATCTACCCAACCTTAAGATTCCACTTTATCACTAAATTTCATCATGATAACAACCTAGTTTGGACTCATGACTTATAGGTATACCTCTTAAGTATTTTATGGTCTTGGCCTTGCATCAATTAGAGTTCTAAAACTCTAGATATGAATTACACTCCACAACTCGACTTAGACTTCGAATGAGATTCGGATTCGTTTTCTAGACTAGAATATAAAATATCATTTGGAGGCCTAAACAAACTTGGATTTTGACCAACTATATTATATCTAGAAAGAATGTGATGTCATCAACAAAGTCTTTAAAGACCACTTCTTTTAAATCCAACTCAAAGGCTTCGAAAAACCTATAAGAAGTTCGAAGGGTCTAAGTTAATCATGCCGAACATCCACACAATTTTCTTTTTTATTTCACACGATCGTAGCTATTTCTTCTTGTATCATATATGGCCATGTGTCTCCTCGAGCTTCCTTGATGGCTTTTAGCTTCTCCTTATTTTTGGTTTGGGTTTCTTACTTCAATTCAATATTTTTCTTATAAAACCCGACATCGTTATCTTTATCTTAATTTTCTAAATATAGTATAATAAAACTAAAATGTTCAATGTAAAAGAGTATAAAAATCATGTTAATTATGCACTCATTAACTCTTGAGGTCCAGCTCTACGCATATGCTTGCTTTCCCCTCCAGCAGCACTTACCGTCCATAAGCAACAACCCTTCATCTCGCCATAGCCGTAAAGCTTGCTAGCAAGTTCCTCCTCACATGTGTGACCCTCTTGCTAAGCTCCTCCTCACCCATAGTGATCGTGTTGTCAAGCTCCTCCTCGCACACATCATCCAGCTTTCTAACCTTTTCCCCTTCACGCATGCCTTCTATAAGTTTCCTCTTCGTGCACGCGATCTACAACCCCTCATTCGCACACGAGCCGCAACTTATCCTCTTCCGTACATGCACTAGTTACCATCATTTAACTTCTTCTTTTGCACAAACCACCACCACAAAGCCGCCTACACCCTTCATCCCCTTACACCCATACAGTAGCCTCATCGCTCGTATAATGACCCCTCACATAGCGACCCCCTACACAACCTTCATACCATACCAATACATCGCCCAAAGTTTAGCTAAAACTTGTGGCTTCTCTCCTTTTTAGTCACCTAATTGAAAAGAAATAACATAAAAAAAGTTTTTTGTTGGATTATATTTGATAAAAATAACATGATACTATAGGTTGCATTTGTATTTTTTTGATTGAAAAAGCACAATAGTAATTTTATCCAAGTCTTCTATGTTACAAGTGGCTTTGTAAATTTATAGTAACTTTAACGAACAATGAGTGACCTCGACCCTTTACACGGACTTTAGAGAGGATTTCGATCACTCTATTGAGAATCATACCACATTTTGATAATAAGTAGTTGTTATCCTTTCTTGGGTAACTAAATAATCGGTTATCATCGTGGATGAAGAGAGTAAAATCGACTTTGAATAAAACGTATGAACTATAGAACGTTTTGGGTAAAAAAAAAAACTCTAAAACCACTAAACTCTTTAAAATGGGAATAAAAAATGATTAAACTCGCTTTAAAAGTGTGAATAAAATAATCTATTTTGTTTAAATACTTGTCGATTTAAATATGATTGGAGCGAATATTGTTGTAATGGCCATTTAGGATAAACTATCTTGTTTTCTTGTTTTATCCTTGCGTACTTAAATGCAAAATTTATGTTTTTTTATGGCTTGATTGACTCACCGTGTTTGATTGTAATGCTAAAACAAAGTTGTCGATGACTTTCTACTTATGTGACAAAATCATCGATGATTTCAAAATTTTTTTACTTTTTTCTATTTTTATCAAAATAAAGTTATCGGTGACTTCTCATTTATGTGATGAAGCCTCCAATAGTCCTCAAATCAATCATATATGTTTTTTGTTTTCTTAAAATGAATTCGTTGGTAACTTCTCATATATGTGATGAAGCCGTTAGTGCTTTTAAAATTATTTTATTTATTGTCTAATTATTTGAAACGAAGCCATCGAGGGCTTCTCACTTATGTGATGGAGTCATCGGTGGCTTCGAACCGATTATATGCTCCTTGTTCGAGCAAAATTAAAATTGTGATAACTTTCCACTCGTGTGACAAAATTATCGATAACTTTTCAAATTCATGATTCGAAGTCATCGATAACTTTTCACTCATGTGAAGTCATTGATGACTTACTCGCTCATATTAATAAAAGGTTATCTATCTCTAGAAACTCATCTTGTTGTCGATAATAAGTCGTGTTCACTAAAGACTAGTCGAAATTCTAACTTTCCCCACCTTTCCCTTTTGGATATAGAGTGTTGGCCTTATGCCCAAACATATGAACTACCTTATTTTTGCATTTTAATAAAATAAACTCCTTTAAATCGACATAGAAGCATAACATAGTAAAAAATCAAATTTTTATCTTCACGTGTAAATAATGCATCCTATCTTAAGTAAGACAGGATGGTGGTGATGCTATATCTTTTTCATATGTAACCGAATCATACCTAAATGTTTATGGAGACTAGTACATTTATGGTTTTCTAGTTCTCCCCGATTAATTAGGTGGTGACTTCTTATCTGTCCCTCCTCGCGAGGTCGACATCGACATAATAACAAAGTTGTAAAATAAGGAATGTTTTGTGTTAGATGGATGTAATTGAGTGCAAAAATATAATAAACAAAAAAATTATATAATATTATGTAAATTATGAATTATATGGATGTAACAAAACAAGAAATCATTTCCAAAGATATTATTTTTCATCTCCATCACAACAAGACAAAAAGCATAAGTTTTTTTTAATAATGAATGAGTGAGGAAAAAGAAATGAAATGGACCAAGTTGTGGTGTTTGGTAGCATTTATTTTAAATCAATTTAAAAAATGTATAACAATAAATTTTTAGAATGCAACATAATTGCGAGCTCTATGGATGCAATGAAAGGGAAAAATAATATTTGTGTAATGTTTTCTAGTATTTATGAATAACATAATGCACAAGTGTAACAAAAAAAAAAAGAGCTCTAATGATATAATCATGTGTTAGGTATCTAAATCGAGACCCTTTTTTTACGAAGCTCGCTTGTTGCAAATAAGGCAACTTTTATTCCACCATCCCATATGGAGGTGAAAATCTATTATGAAAGCTTAATAGGTGAATCTTTGTCCCTATGATGATTTAGTAAAAAAAAACAAAAGAAAGTTGGAGTCAAATATTTTTTAATTAGTGTGTTGCATTGCATCGAATAGAGCACGATAATTGAAAGTATTCATTTTTTATTTTCAAATACAAACATTTAATAAAATGAAAAGGCCGCAACTCCTTTTTTTCTCTTTGTCGGTGATCTATAGTGATTAAGGGGCGATAAATAGCCGAGTAAACAATAAATAGCATAAGAGAGAACTTTCTTTTATAATAATAAAACTATATACACAGAGAACACTTCCCTTGCTATAGAAAAATCAAAAGCCTACATTTTGAATACATGAGATGAACATCATAAAAAGAAAAGCAAAAGATGAGCAATAATGGAGAAATAAATACAACTCGGAGCAAATAAAGATAAGAATGGACATACATGATTGAGCTATCGCAAAAGCAAGAAGGAAAATATAGCAAAACACGAGGAGAAAAAAAAACCTTATGCGAAGACGATCAAAACATAAAGAGAACTGTAAGAAGATAGTAGCTACATCTATAAGTTAAAAAAAGAAAGTTCAAAGAAATTAGATACATAGATACAAATAAAATCTTGAAAGGTAACGTATAAAAGGGAACAAAAGAGTGGAAAAAGAAGAAGAAGAAAAGTGACTAGCCTTTAAAGCGAGCGAAAAAGCTAGGAAGACACACTAAAAATGATGAACAATGATAGAAAGAAAACAAAGAGGAAAAACAAAGCAAGCAATTCTCAAAAATGGCAAATGAATGTAAGAAAGGCAAGTAATCAAAAATTCATGGGTAAACAAAAAACGGAAAGGACGAGAGGAAAATAATTAAAAAAAGACCCAAATACAAATGAACAAACCACCAAATCGGGAAAAAATGATATGTGTTCTGGGACTTAAAACCAAACAAACCAAACTAAAAAGGGACCCAAGCCGTACATCCCATCATGACAAAACTGGAAATGGGGGATTTCAATCAAGAATGATATGGTGTGACAAAACCGTAACAAAAATCCTCGAAGAGCAAGGAAATAACGAATAAGAGATTTGGTTTTCACAACCAAACTTAGGGCAACCAAGGAACACCAATATCTTACAAATAAACCAAAAAAATAGAATGAAGAGAAGCAATAGTTATTTTAAAAAAGAGGAAAAAAAGCAAAGGTGCATTAAAGGCTTTTGCAAAAAGAAAAACAAAATGACAAAAAAGATGGTGGCGAGATGGTAAATATGAACAAAACACATGGCTTATAATTAAACCACTTGCAAATGAAATCTTAAATTAGAAAAAATGAAACAATAAGTGTAGATGACCATTAAAGGCTCTTACAAAATGAAAAACAAAGTGATAAAGGAGATGAGTAACAAGACGATAAATATAAAAAAAATACAAGACCTATGATTAAATCACTTGCAAAGGAAATGTTAAAACACAACAAAGAAAGAATAGAAGAAATCTCATAGCCTTGCAAAGGAAATGTTAAAATATGACAAAGGAAACAACAAAAGAAATCGCATTGCCATAAATAGAGAGCAAAAAGCATCAAACTGGCCAAGGCAACAAAATAGTTCTTATGGGTGTTAATCCATGATAAAGTGAAAGTGAGTGAGCAATAACAAATAATAATAAGTCCACATCTTTTAGTTATTTTGTTAACAAACACCTATCAAGTCAAGAGATGCTAACTTTCAAATAAGCATTGGATGGGCGCATGGTATGAGATGGATTGAATATAAAATTAAGACTATTTATTTACAACTCGTACATGATTTTCGTATAAATTTGCCAAAGTTTATTAAAATTAAAGTCTTATTGCATTCTTGCTTAGAAATTGTTACGGAACTCGATATGATTATTCTTCATTGTGTTAGAAACCACTCTAACAAAGCTCGTACTTGTTTTGACTAGTTTTTTATTCAAAAAATTATATTGAGAATATTACGTTTACCTCTTTTTTGATTTAGTTAAAGACATTTGAAAACTAATTCTCATATGTATAAATTGTTGCCATATGTGCACATTATTTTTGGAATGAAATATTTTATGGTTTATTATTTTATTGTTTTTACTAAAAAACAACATTTAGTTAGACAACAAGTTTTATCAAGGTAAATAAGAGTTTATTAAAGTTAATTAATTAGTTTTTTGACCGGTGGCTATTCTCAATTTAGTAATTTTTTTTTAAATGCTTTATTTCGTAACTCCATTTGACCTAATTCTCTTTTCTTTATTATATTTTTCAAGAAAGAAAAAAGTAAATAGATTGAAAATAACATAAAATTGAAAAAAAAATTATACATAAATTAAAAATTAAAGATATTAAATATATAGTTTCTAAGACTATAAAGATTAATTTCTTAATTTTGTTAAACTACAAGGACTAAATTGTAATTTATTTTATTAAATAGAATCATGATGTTTTTAATTTTGAAAAGCATTATTTACTTTTAACTTTCTTAACTAAGGGCATAACGACAATTTTATTTTTTTCATAAGTTTTCCTTCCCGTTTTTTATTTATCTTAAACGAAGATACAAGTTACTTTCCCTCGCATTTCTTTTCCTTCTTTTTCACCTCACCCAAACACAATATTGAAAATGTTTTGCCTTTTTAAAAGAAAATGAAAACCTGGAAGGCATCCAAAATGAATCCGGTTCGTTACGAACGTGTTGTCCTCCATAACAAACGCCACGTCAACAAAACAAGCAGGTATAAATAAGGGAAAGATTCAATTAATCAATAAAAATCTGAAATTGGGGGCTAGGGTTAGCAAACAAGAAAAAGGAATTCACAAAAATGGAGGGTTGGGATCCAAACACGAAATCAACACTAACTCAGATCCCGCTGCTAACAACGAAGGCCGGTCCAAGAGATGGAGCTGCATGGACAACTAGGCTGAAAGAGGAATACAAGGCTTTAATCGCCTACACACAGATGAACAAGTCAAATGACAACGATTGGTTCCGTATCTCGGCAGCCAATTCAGAAGGGACACGTTGGACTGGCAAGTGCTGGTATGTGCATAACCTTCTCAAGTACGAGTTCGATCTTCAGTTTGATATTCCTGTTACTTATCCTTCTACAGCCCCTGAGCTCGAGTTGCCTCAGCTTGATGGAAAAACCCAGAAGGTTTATTTTTTGTCCCTTTTTTTCCTTTCTGGTAATTTTTTTTTTGTTGATTTTTTTTTAAAAAAGGTGTTTTCGGTGATCATGATTGTAGATGTATAGAGGAGGGAAGATTTGTTTGACGGTTCATTTCAAGCCGCTCTGGGCCAAAAATAGGTATGTTTTTAATTAAATTGGATTAGTGTTGGCTTGATGATTTGATTGATTTATTTGATATCGTGGATTACTGATTTGTTTGGGTGTTGAAGAATTAATGTAAATTGCAAAGGAATGGAATTGATTAAGATTTAGCATTGGTGGAATGTAGAAACTGAACTTTTCCATGCACAATTCAGCTGATCAACATAGTTTAGTTTTCATTTAAAGTGGAGAAATAGCGTGGGGAGTCATATTAGTTGGTCTGCTTATGTTATCATTGTTATTATTTGTACTTTACTAACAGAGTTCAATTGAAGATTCTACTCAATTTGTATGCTATTTTCCTATTGACCCTACAGGAAGGAGTTTTTTTTTCCGGTTATTCTTTGTTGACTGGTTAACCTGTTTGCATGGTTGCACTACCACTGTCTGTTTGTTTTGTGGTGGTTGTTCTGCTCCAGGGACTATGAACATTATAATTGTAATGTTACATTATATATGGCACGAGATAAGATTGAGTTTAGAGGTGGACCTTTGCAAATTTGGACAAAAATGGACCCATTTCCAGGAATTTCTTCTGTTGTCGATACTGATCTGCTTCTTGAATTATGTCTTAGCTTGCTAGCTTTCATTCAATTTCACCTTCTATTTCTTTTTTATCCTTTCCATTTAGTAGAATTATGGACTAACAACAAATTTTGAATTTTGGTCCTGGTTGGGCAGTCCTAGGTTTGGCATAGCACATGCACTTTGTTTGGGTCTTGCTCCATGGCTTGCTGCAGAGGTACCAATTCTTGTGGATTCTGGTATGATTAAGCACAAAGATGATGCAACCTCAACCAGTGAGTCTTAGTTATTCAATGTACCATTCTGGCTGTAAAAGTATTTAGTGGCGGAGTTCTTGACCTGGTCATAGAGAATAAGGATTAAGTCATAAATTTGCAACTTAGAGGAGTGTAAAATCCATCTGATGAGATTGCAAGGTCTCTTGATTGGGTACATAGACTTGAAATTTGTGACTCCAAGTTTCGAAATGCAGATACATAATGATAATATTCCTCATTTCTGTCAACATTGTGTGCGCTTTTGATATTTTAATGGTACCATGGGGCTGTTTCTTTATTGTATCTCTGATACATTTGTTGGGAGTTATTCGTGTGCTTCAGTCCTCCTTGCAAAATATTAGCTCCTATTGGATTAAAAATAAATTTGTGAGGGATTAAAAAGCTCTCTTGGAAAAAAGTGTGTAGTTTTTCTGAATCTCGTTAGAGGATTCCTTTCCTTGCTTGGAGCTCCTTTATAACAACAATTGAAGTAGTTTGTTGCTGATTGTGCTTTGGTTCATGGTAGCTTGTCGTTAAGCTTGGTAATTGGTTCATTATGCCAGTGGAAGTATGTCATAAACATGACAGGAAAGGAAGAACCTGTATTGTAATTGGAGACCATCCGAATTAATTCCACAAGTGAAGTGTTGCTGATAATTAGAGCTCAGATGCAGAACTTGGTTGGTGGAAATTTGCTTCTTTATTCATTCTAGTTACTGAGATGAAGCGAAAGAAGAATGTAACGAAGAAAGGATTAAAGAAACAAAGTCGTCACGCCATAGGCTTGTTTCCAAGTTTCTTGTACAACATAAATACATATAGGACTGAGCCTGTTATCAGACTTGGAGGACCTAAAACTCATCTGTCCGAGCTTTGCCTGTTTAATGATAAGGCCAGGACTTGTAGGACGCGACCAGCGGGCTAAATTTCCCAGCTTATGCCTGACCACCACCTCTTGGGCCAAGGGTGGTCTGTGACGTGTCCAGCCTATGAACATCTCTATCCATATTATTAGTTGATTGTCTGTGCTATACTACGGATAGAAAACAACACATAAAATTATTAAAAATATAATTTTAATTTGATAATATATTTTTTATTGAAGGTCTGCTAAAATATGTTGACCTTATATTTTTAATAAATTTTATAGTTATAAAACACGATTTGTTATTTTTTATGTATTGATTTTTAAATAAGAATTTGCAATAATCTGAGTAGAATATTTAATCCATAATTTTAAAAATTACCTTAATAATTTTTTTATAAGATTGTATCAAAAAAATAAAACAATAATTAATATAAAAATTTGAATAAAAATTAACAAATGAATTTTTTTTCATTATTATTTAATTGTGATGTAAAGATTTTTTTAAAAAAATATGTACACCTGATTTATATATATTTATTTACAAAATAATCAATAATATTAGTATAAAAAACTGTATTTGCATCATTGGATGGTTCTCCTAAAATATTATTTCAATTATTTTATTTCAAAAGAAATTGATTTTAAAATATTAAAATAAAAAAATAATAACAAATGGTTGATGTTATGTATGTAGATGTATAATTCACTTTTAATAAAACTAATTTTTTAAATTTTTTTATATACATTATTAACCATACTTAGTGGGTTCGAGTGTACAACATAAATAAAAAATATTTAAAAAACAAAAAAAATTAAAAAAGAAATATATTAAAATTAATAAACTAAAATAAAAAAACTACAAATTAATTTCGATACTTTTTAATTATTTAAAGAATAAACGAATAAAAAACTTGAATTCTATTTTTTAATTGATTTTTTAAAAAATATTTGAGACAAATTATCTAAAATATAATTTTAGTTTTTTAACATTTTCATTTAAAAATCATAAGAATTCATCATATAAATTATATCAATATATAAAAAAAGATTAAATAAGGACATTTTAAATTTTTATTCGAAAATTCACGCGAGAGGAAAAATAAATCATATTTATCAACAAAAAAAAACTATATAAAAAATATAAAATTAATTTCATGAGAATTTCTATAAGAAACTACAAACAAAAAAATCAATTTTAAACGATAAGAGTAATATAATCCGATATACACGTTCATTAAAAAAAGATAAAATAATTATATTCAAAAACCATATATAAAGAAAAATAAATCATATTTATTAACAAATAAAATTATATAAAAATTAAAAATGAAATTTATGAGAACTTCCATAAGAAACGAAAAAAAAATCAATTTTAAACAATAAAAGTAATATAATCTTATATATATTTTTATTTTAAATTCGAAAACATATCATAAATATTTCATTATGGTCAACTCTATATGAAAAAAAAATCGTAATTGATTTTCTATAATTTTTGCACTCAATTCAATAATAATGTTTTTTAAAAGGATGGTAAAAAATAGAAGTAAAAAAAAAAAGCCATTCCAATGCACATTATATATATATATATATGTGAAATTGAAAATTTCAATCTTTTTTAGGTTTTGATCTACCTTTTTTTAATTATTTTATGCCTTAAAACCACCACGAACACACTATTCTCACCAAGATAAACAACATAAATACATGATCGATCATAAAAGAGGCCAAAATTAGAGCCAATCGTGACTTTCTCTCTCCTCTCTCTACAATTAGGAATCAAATTGCGACATAAATAAGTTGAAAAATCAAAATAAATTTTTTGAAAACATCAAGGATCAAAGTACAATATCATAGAAAAAAATCAAATATAAATGCCTCAATACAATCTAAAAATCATAAAAATGTTACCTGAATAGCGAACATGAGTAAAAGTAAATAGTAAATGAATAGTATTTTATGAGTGTATAAATAACATAGTGAATAATAAATATTTCAAATCTTTTATTTTTTTTATTATAATGTTAGGTAGTGTTAAACGAATACCCTTTTATACTCATCACCTTGTTGCCATTCCTAGATCACGTTGGACGTTGCTTTTCATGTGTGATGGAAACAATTGTTATTGACTTTGTTTTTTTCTAAAAAAGGAGGAAAAAGAAAAGGTTATAACATTTCCATAAGTTCTGAAACCATAGTATTGATGCTTAACTCATGATCACGTGTTGTTGGTTAGATCTATCTATATGAAGTTCACGAACTATTTAACTTTTTATATATGTTTGATTTTTTTATAAAAAAATTAACTATAACTAATTTTATTATGTATTAATTTATTATTTTTTTATTTTGATATATTTTTAAGCTACATAATAAATGAATTAGAATAAGAATGAGTCTTGTCTAACATAAGGTCTTGAGTCACGCAAAGATGGTCACATGTATTCTAGCAAAACTAGTGTCCATGTAATATCTTTAAGATGTATTAGAGAGATAATTGACTTAATGGATTCGGAGTAGGGTTCATAAAAGAAAGGTCAAATTGTTATTTTCTTTAGCATTTATTAGCAAGTTGAAGCATTTTAGTCTAAAAAATCCAACTTTCTTTAATTCAAATATGACCGTCCAAACATGAATAACGTGATACGATCTTAGTGGTCAAGACGCTTCTTCAATTCAATAATAAATACCAACCTCACATCATTGTAAGAAAATTTTAACTTTTTGATCTCTAACAAAAAAACTTCTATAAACTCTCTTTCTCTTAGCTCTTCCACTTACTTACTATGAAACATCTAAATCTTTATCGTTTGGACTTTAACCATCCACATGCATATCACTTGACTTATGCTTTGCTATTATTTTTCGACGTCCGCTCTCCTCTCATGCTTTTCACTACTTGCACCTATTTTACTTGATTGATTGACCATTGTTTTTATAAATTATAATAATAGCTCTTTATATCTTAATCAATTTATCGACTAGTCGTTAGTTCAATTCTCAAGAGTTCTTTCACACATTTTAGTGAATTCACTAGAAAATTAGTGATTATAGAAAAATAATCAACCTTTTTAAGAACATTAAAAAAACTACTAATCATGAAACCAGTTTAATCACTCGCAATAGTGATAGTACCCTATTTGATCCTAATAATAGTGACAACACCAACTTGCTCAACATCGAGAGTGACAACAATCTTAAAACCCCCTAAGTTGAGTGGAAGATTGCCAATACTACTAGGAGGCGACTTGCCTCGATTCATTACTCAAGCTTCATCACGCTTTTATACATCCAAACCTCCATACCATGGTCAAATTCCTAAAGAGTTACCGGGATGTTCAGCTCATAATACAACAAAAACAATAACAATCTTCAAAGTACTTCGAATAATAATGTTGTATTTTCTTGAGCCTTAAGAAATATCATCAAACTACTTCCCACGAGTGTACTCCTACAAACTATTATCCCTCAAATTATGATGTCACCAATAATTAATATAGATGATAACCTAATTTCCACCATATTTTTCTTATACCATAGGCATGATCTATGCTCTATTAGATCATCGGACGATTGATTAAGTTATTATCCTATAGTGGGTGAAAAACTCTCATCCCAAAAAGACAAGAAAGTATTTTCGATACTATAGATACACAGGGCATTCAACAAAAAACTCTAACAACTTCAATCTTTTATTGTATGATAAGCTAAATAAAGTATAGATCATCATTGACAATAAATATGATGTGTAAAAATCCCTACCATAACATTAAAATTGTCATAACGGCCAAATGAATGTTATTTTCCATGACTCGATTGAGTTGAAGGAAGAAGATTTGACATGCATATTTACTAGGTTATTTCTAGCCATACCATATATTACGTGGAAAAAGTAGACAACATTGACAACTTAATTGCATATTATTTGCTAATAACTCCTAATTTTTACTAAAAAAAAAACTTATTCTTTACTCAATAATTCTCAATTTTTTATTAAATAAAAAAATTCTTTTAAACATTTGTTTCATTCTATATTGCAACCTCTATGAGTTAAAAAATAAAAAATAAATACAAAGGCGAGATGAGTGTCATTCTCTCAAAGTTTGTTAGGAGACATGTCTATCTAGTCAAGTCCTAAGCTTTTCATGCTTAGTTTTTTAT